ATTTTTAGACTTGTACTTTTAGAACCAACTCTAAAATATCTTTAGTACTAAATCTAACTGAGATATTTGTGTTTTGGGCACCACGATAAAAGTTCAGTTGTCCAGTAGTGATGTTTTGCATAGGTTTTCTCCTATTTTTGAAGAGGTATATACCTCCCTAGTCCCCATTACTTGAAAGTCGAGGCAGTAAAACAAATCAAAATGTATAAAAATGTGTAAACAGTTTAACTTCCGGTTCATCATTTAGCCCGAGTGCTTAATTAACCAAATGACGCCAGTCCGTGTCATGCTGAACTGATTGAATACCACCAAGCTAAGTGTCTATTCTATGGGCATGGCGGCATGCACATATAAAAAGCAGGTCGAGAGAACTATATTGATGACGGCTACAGGCTGCCTAGTTTATTCAATCGACAAGTCCCAATTATGAACTGATAACCATCAAGAACGGATAGATCAAAACAAGGAAATTAAACTCAAGGTCATGGTGGAGTCAATCGCTGCTTGTAGCTTTCAGCAAGACGGAATGATAGGAGCTGTGACAGGTGCAATAAGTTATTTATATCCAGATAAAATCAAGATGCTGAGCAGAGTAAACCGTCCCTCGTGTGATCGATCCGTGGCCACATATACCGACATGCATTTGATTGATCCGTTTAATTCATCTGTGAATATCCTAGCTTAATTCAATATTCTCTCTGATCCAACGTAAGCGAATTGCAGAGAACGAGTGTGGAGTGAAGCACATGGCGAGTAGTCCTGCATCTCTTCTAAGCTAGTTTCAGACTTCAGAAACTTCAGACTCAGCAAAGATAAGACAAAGATGAAGCAATCTATCTATATAGCTTGGTGTGTGTAGTGCTGTCATCTTGTTATCGGTGTGGTAGTTGTTTAGTATATATGCTCATATCGGCATTGCGTACATAACTAAAAGTTTCTGAGTACTTAAGAGTTGACACAATTCAAGCAGATATATTGATATATATGTCAGTGGACTAACAGTATTAGAAAACTGAAAATAACAGGAGACAACTTGCAGTTACCCTACAATATCCAACAAATACATTTAGCAATAAAAAAAGCACACCGTACTCATCCAGTTTTAGACTTCCAGGAAACTAACCGAAGTCCCTGGTTTTTCTACCTAGTTTGGGGGTTAACTAGATGGTAATTTGGGAGTTGTTGTGTGTCACCACTATCACGTGATACACAACAATAACCAAACCGAGAGGATCATAATTAAATCATTATCATGCAGAGATGATCACATCAGAAGTTTAGGAAACTAAAGAAGAGGAAACTTATCACTGAATAAACAAATATTATCAGTCACGCACCGAAGGATCGATGCAGACATGCAGACTGCTGCTGCGACGACATGGGTCAGCTTTCACCCGACCCGACCCGAGCCGAGCCGAGTCTCCCCGGCCCAGCTACGATTTATATAAGGAATCATATATAATAGCGATCTCCTTATAATACACTGCAAGTTTTAGGATTGCAAAGTGGTCGCTGAGCTAGGTTGACATTTGACAATGATGGTGACAAGGGCATATGCTGGAGTTCGAACTCCAGCGCCTCCATTATCGTTATCATTTTCTCTATGTATAACGAAAATGGCAATGGCAATGGAGTACTAATATTTCTGGTCTGGAGAGTAAGTTAATTTACATTTTCACACCATCATTTCGTTGTCTTATGTGCTTTCCAGATAAATTTGCCTAGAGTGGATGGAAGTAGAAAATACAACCTCTTCTTCTCTCACATCTGACTAGTATATATGTACAGTTGGAGCAAGTATGAGTGGCCGTATAAACTAAGCGAGGTTGACATCCCCATCGATAAATTTATACTTGGATCTCCTTTCCACCTGCTGGCTAGCTAGATGGTCGCCGATGCAGTGCCCGTTTTGTCGAGCTGGGGAGAACATCATCAACCAAACTGACAGCATCGATCTCGATCATCCACAGCGTTGGCGTCGCCAATCGCTGTCGAGCTGCTAATTGTTTAGGCAACGGATCGAGTGCCGGTTAAACAAAACGAGCAGATATGCGAAAGCAGCAGCTGTGAGAGAGAGAAGGTGCAGGCATGTCGAGCAGTGCAAGCTGTGCAACAAAACGAGCCGCGCGCTGGCTCTCGTCAGGGTTGCATGTCAGGTTGCCGCATTACGTACGCACCAATGCTTAGTTAAATGCAAGGTCAATGTGTGGCTCCATGTATTTATGTGTATATATATTAAGTGTGGCGCTAATTGGTAGCAGTTGCTTGGGTGTCAGTTGATCCATCTCCTGTATGTCTGTATCGATTGGATGTATATATATGGTACAAGTGGCGGAGCTAGACATTCTTTACAGTTCAGACAAATGTAACTACGTCAAGTGCTTGAAAATATTATCTTAAACTAGCTGGGTGGCCCGCGCAATTGCGCGGCTAGCACCCAAACAAAATCATATATTTTCTAGTATGATTTTACTTAAAATTTATTAAATAGCTATCTCATTATCTTAAGACTTTAAAAGACCAAACCTTATCATCCTCGTGTTTCTAATTATATAGTTTTTAAAAGTCACACAGTTGCTACCCCTTATGTCATTTCCTTCTTTATTTGCTTGCTCGATCTACCACTATTTCTATTCATTCTTGTTGGAACCTTTAAAAATTGGATTTTATAGTTTTTAGAGTTTATTGTCACGTTGGGTTTTGTTTTTATAATTTCTAGATGTCCCGTCAAACGTTACCTTATACTCCTCTTCTATTTATTGTCATTGAGATTTTAAAAATCGAACATAATTATCGTTTGGGTTCATTTTTACTTTCTAGAAGTCCCGCCAAACCATCAGCGGCTTTGCCATTGTACTCCTCTACGGCTCGCCCGCTGCCTCCCTTCTTTATTGTCATTGAGATTTTAAAATCGAACATGATTATCATTGGGTTTTTTTACTTTTTGGAAGTTCTGAATCTTTAAAAATTGGACTTGTAATTTCATTTTTTATAATTTTTAGAAGTCCCATCAAACGATGTCACTGTGCCCCTCTACAGCCCGTCCGTTGCCTACTCTTTTATTGTCATTGTGATTCTAAAAATCGAACATAACTATCGTTGGAATTCATTTTTAATTTTATAGAAGTCCCGTCAACCGTCGGCGGCTCTGCAACTATAGTCCTATACGCCTCGCCCGCTGCTTCTCATTTTTATTGTCATTGAGATTTTAAAAATCGAATATGATTATCAAATGGGTTTTTTTTTTACTTTCTAGAAGTCCCAGCAAGTGCCTTACTTGTTTGCTTCACGGCCTACCTGAAGTTCCTCCTTTTAATCGTCATTAGGATTCTATTTGGTGTTTTATTAACAATTTTTATATGTCGTATCAACCGCCACCACTCTACTCCTTTATAGACATGTTACTTAATTTATCTCGTCATGTGTTTTAGATGGTCTTTTTTTTCAATAGTCTTTATTTTTATCACAAATTTTAGTTATTTATAAATTGTATTCCTAATTGAAATCTTATTTTTCTTTTTCTAATTTCATAATTTTTTTAAAAAAAATTAGTTACTACCGTATTATGTTCTTTTAATGTTTTAATTTTTTATTTTCAATTTCAGTTGTTTCAAAATTGTATTCCTACTTGAGCTCTCCTTTCCTTTTCTAATTTTGTATTTTATTTTATTTTTATTTCGAATTTTGATTAATCTCATATTGGGTTCTTATATGGAAACTTCTTACAATATTGCTTATTTTTTATTCCAATTTTCAGTTATTTTTAGATTGTATTTCTACTTGGACTCTCCTTTCTTTTTCTAATTTTGGATTTTATTTTATTTTTATTTAGAATTTTGATTAATCTCGTATTGGGTTATTATATGGAAACTTCTTTCAATATTGCTTATTTTTAATTCTGAATTTCAGCTATTTTTATATTATATTCCTACTTGGACTCTCCTTTCCTTTTCTAATTTTGGATTTTATTTTATTTTTATTTTAAATTTTGATTAATCTCGTATTGAGTTCTTATATGGAAACTTCTTTCGATATTGCTTATTTTTAATTCCGAATTTCAGCTATTTTTAGATTGTATTCCTACTTAGACTCTCCTTTCTTTTTCTAATTTTAGATTTTATTTTATTTTTATTTTGAATTTAGATTAATCTCGCATTGGGTTCTTATATGGAAACTTATTTCAATATTGCTTATTTTAATTCCGAATTTCAGCTATTTTTATATTGTATTTTTACTTGGACTCTCTTTTTCTTTTTTCTTTTTCTCCGATTAATGTGGGAATTTCTAGCCTCCACAACAAACGTGGTGCCGCCTTTTTGAGCTGTCTTAATAATATAATCGATCCCTTAATAGCACCAAATTGTATTGTGCACGCGCCGACAAGCCCGGACAGCCGGTCGTCGAGCTATGGCTCCACCGCTAGGTGTAGTGTTAGTGTTTTTTTTAACACCAATTCAATGGAGGGAAGAGCTTCCCCACCTAAATTCTATTTCCTTTTAGTATGTAAAAAGGGGTACAAGAACAAATTACAACACATTCAGAGTGTAGATAGAGCTTGTAGTGTTAGTGTACTACAAGCTCTTTTAAAAGGATGATTCAGTAATTTGCTATACTCTTTAGAAATATTATTACATGTCACAGTCCCGGTAACAACACGTGGGGCACTTTAAGTCAACGACATGTCTGCAAATCATCAAATCCTTTTAGATTGGTACGTATATAACATCATCAAACCCTCCTTAAAAATACCCAATAGTATACAGAGCAAGAAAAAGTAAAGGAGAAAAAGAAGACATGTTGCGTGGAAGTCCAAAGACTTTCAAAGCCCAATAGCCTACCTAAGCCCATCTGGGCCCAACATGATGCAGCTTGCGACTGGGCCCAATGGCCCGCGCGGGCCCACATCCGCGTTCGCACGCTCGGCAACCGCGAAACAGTCAAACGCACCAGACAAAGAGGAGACAACGCCCACCAAAACCAAACTAACACAGGTGGAAAAAAAAAATTTTGATTCGCTCGCTCTCAGGTCGGAGTACGCCCACTCCGCTCCGTCCCCCCACCACCTCCGAATCACATGGCGGCGATCTTGCAGCCGCCGCGCCACGCCGCGGTGGTGGCGCCGCGGCGGGCGGGGAGGCTCGCGAGGCCGGGGTGCGCGGGGGGGAGGAGGGCGGCGGTGGCGGTGGCGGCTGCCGGCGGCGCCGCCAGGGACAGGAAGCCGCCGAGGCTGGAGGGCGCGAGCGAGGAGCTGAGGGCCGCCGCGGCGCAGTGCCTCGACTGGGCCCCCGCGCGCCGCCGCGTGCGCGGCGCCTTCGCGCCTGTGCTCCCCACCCTCGACCACTGCCTGTTCAAGGTCCGTACGCCTGCCACTTGAAAAAATGGTTTTAGATTAGCAGTAGAGTAAACAGTTAAGATGAGGTGAAGTCGCTCTTGGATCGGTGGTACTGTTGATTGTACTGCTTGGGTGCTACTACATATTCATTTTAGCATACTGGGTTCGTAATGAACTCATAAGAATGGCTCTAATCATGGGATAGAAGTATAGAACAGGGAGCTCTAAGCTTGAATGCCGCAGTATATGTAGTTAAGTCCTGTTGATTGAGCTATTCAGTGAGAATGTCAGATCCTTTGATTCTGTAGTTTATGCCAACCGAAAGATACTTGTAGCGTGTTGGGTTTTGATCAATGCTGATAAAATTCGAAAGTTCATCGCCCTTGAGAGCAGAGCGTAACACACTATGTCTATAATCAATGGTTGTTATCCAGTAATGTTGTTGTGTGCGATGCCGGTTGGTCTTGCTTTCTAATCATTTATCTCTTATTTCTCATTCTGTAGATGGCTCCCAAGGGAATCCAGATGGAAGAGGTAAGCACATTGATGGAGATCTTGAATTGACCTTACCTTGTATTTGGTTCAAGTAGTTCCCTTGCAGAAATGCAATCTACCTGTGACAGCATGTTTTCTCTGTTGGAAAAGATGGCATGTCGGCATCCATTAAAAAGTGAAAGTGGTGTATTCAGGCCACTAAGTAAACTTTTTACAGGGAGTGGCATACTGGCATGAAGTTACTTGCATATTGAATTTGCAGTTGACCTCAAAAGACAAATCTAAGTGCAGTAGGCACTTTCAATCTTGAATGAGCTGTTTAATTGCTTCTTTTTTCTTTTTGTAGTAAGTTATATTGCTTTCTGTGTAGAATTTTGAAACCAATTCAAAGGGGGTTGAGATTTTCTGGAAGAGTTGGCTGCCTAGGGAGGGCACTGCCACCAAGGCAGCACTTTTCTTCTGCCATGGATATGGTGATACTTGCACTTTCTTTTTCGAAGGTGATTATTCCGCTACTGCTACTGTTATGTTCTTCTGTTGAGTTCTCTTTTTGTTGCCTGCTTGTTTATGCATATTTTACTTTCTTGGAATTATCAGGGATTGCGAAGAGAATTGCAGCAGCAGGATATGCAGTATATGCTATGGATTATCCTGGTTTTGGTTTATCATATGGTCTTCATGGCTACATTGCCAGCTTTGATGGAATGGTGGAACATGTCATTGAACAATACTCACGGATAAAAGGTTTTTGATATATATCTCCAGCATACAAAGAATCGGTGTGCTTTACAATGATACAATCTATACATCATAATGAAATGCTTTGTAATGTCTAGGCAGGAAGGAGGTCCGTGGGCTCCCACATTTTCTATTGGGACAATCAATGGGAGGTGCAGTGGCTTTGAAAGTACACCTGAAACAACCAAAAGAATGGGATGGAGTGCTTCTTGTTGCACCTATGTGCAAGGTAAGGTTAGAATCTAGAAAAAGGTTCACCAAATCTAGTGATCTATAACATTTTTATTGTTTTGGGTGTTAGTTGTATATTGTCCAATGTTCACTTTCAAGTCATGGGAAGCACAATGCATTGTAAATGAAGGCTTATCAATTACTTTATCACCAAATGTTATATTAAATTGGCAGTACTAACTCAATGCCACTGTTAAGTTTACTTGAAATGGATACTAACTACCTGTGAGATGTCCCCTTTTTTGGTTTTTGTACTGCAATGTGCAATAATACTTGCAACTATACTTCATGCATGAACAAGTTACCAAAATTTGGTGATCTTTATCATAACAACCATCTTCGGTTACGCTGATTTGTTGCAAGCGTTTAAACCAATCATTATGCTTGTTCTATATTTGGGTGTATGATATGTCTATATGGTTCTGACTTTAATTTGGCAAGATTTCAGAAGATGTTACACCACCAGCGCCAGTGTTGAAGGCATTGAGCATATTGTCATGCCTTCTTCCAGAAGCAAAGTTATTTCCACAAAAAGATATTGGAGATTTGGCATTTAGAGATCCAAGTAAAAGAAAAGTAGTAAGTTTCTTGGGCCAATTTCATGCTATCATCTTCAACTTGCTTTGTTTGAATGTACTGTAATAGCACATTATCGGCAAGATTTCAGAAGATGTTACACCACCAGCACCAGTGTTGAATGTACTTATTTTTTTGACAAAATGCTTATTTTTCAAAAGTTAATAGCAAGAATCATAACACCTTGGAAAAAAAGCATCAGTACTAGAAAGCTTGTTGAAACATCTAAATGCTATAAATCCTCTCTATTTTCAACTTCCAGGCTGAGTACAATGCCATTTCATATACCCAACAAATGAGGTTGAGGACAGCAGTTGAACTTTTGAAGGCTACAAAGGACATAGAATCCCAGTTGGAGAAGGTCAGTGTTGCTTTTACCTTATCTTTTTAAGCGGTTGAATTCCCTTTTCTAAATTATTCAGTGCCTGGAAGCAACCATTGCCATCACTTCTTTTGAAAAATAGTTACAAATGCGAAACCCTCTTTACTTGACAGATTTGTTCCCCATTGCTGATTCTCCACGGAGCAGCAGACTTGGTTACCGACCCCCATGTCAGCGAATTCCTGTACGAGAAAGCTAGCACAAAAGACAAGACTCTCAAGCTCTACGAAGATGGATATCATTCTATCTTAGAGGGTGAACCTGATGACCGGATTTCAACTGCCATTAACGACATCATTTCATGGCTGGATTCGCACTGCTGAATACCATTATACATTGTCTTGTTGATCTGCTGTGCTGTCTCAATTTAAGTAGGAAATGAATCGCATAATAAATAGGAGTCGATCTGTACGTGTTCGCTTCTTTAAGAGAGTAAAATAATGCATAAATTTTGGGAACATGAAAGGCTCGAAACGTTCTCTAGTTTTGTTTGTTGTTGGTGGTGGCTGGTAACGTGATGCTGTCAGCATGTATTTGGTTCTTGCCAATTGTGAAAAGTGTGTGTTTTTTTTTTTTGGTAAAAGTTTCAAAATTAGGTTTCAAAGCATGGATTAAAATAGAGTAAATGTCACTTTGGTCCATGTATATTTACCAAAGTGGCAACTTGGACCAAGGCAAAGTCTAAGTTTTCACATAACACCACCTTTTTTTACCACCCTTTGCAAATTGCACCAGGGTTTACCGTTTAATTGGGTCACCAAGCTAAGATTTGGCCTAATCCATGTGAAGAGCAGCGTTTTGGCTGGAGCGGAGCACAGTAGGTCGTAGCATATCCGCCCATGGCGCCGGAGGAGTCCCTGCTTGCCGCTGCTGCTGCGGACGATGCCAGACACGCCCAGGCTGCTGGACCTCGCCGTGATGATGATCACAAGGCATGGCTATTACGAAGTATAGGGTATAGCTCCATCACTATAGGCATCATCTTCTTAATTAGCTACCCACTTGACTTGAGCAACCAGTCGGCAGCTAGCGTGCATGCGCGTGCGGATGGATGCGCTTGTTTATCCGCTAGCTTCAGAGTTTATATCAACCCAAATTGGTCACTGATCAAAGTGCTGATATTTTGCAGGAGCATGGCATGAAGCACGGGAAGGCTATGTCGTCGTGTATGACGGCGGCGGCAACGAGCTCTCGGCTCTCGCTATCCTTGACGACGACGCTGGACTCGGGGCTCACCCGGATCGGCGGCGCCAGCATAATGCTGCAGCGAAGCAAACAACTAGATCTCGTCGCCGTCGACGATCTTCAGCAGCGACGGTGGCTGCTTGGTGTGTCCCACCATGTGTTAATCCTACATGATGGTGCGGCGGGGGCGGTCATTTGTATGCAGAGGCGACGTCGAGGGAGTAGGGACCCTACACGATGGAGGCGGGGCGGTCGATGTATGTGGACTTGCGGAGGCATCATCGACGTTGAGAGATGCATGTCGTCGCTGCCGCCGTGCTCCCCATCACTGTCGAGGCGACGAGTCCGCCGCACGAGCCAAAACGCTGTTGTTCACGTGGGTTGGACCAAAGATTAGCTTGGTTGCCGGTAAACCCTGGTACAATATGCAAAGGATGGTAAAAAAAGATGGTACCATGTGAAAACTTAGACTTTACCCTGGTCCAAGTTACCACTTTGGTAAATATACATGGACCAAAGTGACATTTACTCATTAAAATATGAAAACTTTAGGGGCATGTTCCGTCGTCTTACTCAAACGTGCTTATTGACGGCCCTGTGTTTGAAAGCCAATTACCGAATGTCATGGTTGAGGTAGTGTAGGCATTCCTTTTAGTTTCTCTTTTAGTACTGTTTCATTTTCATAAGCTACAAAGTTGTGATAGATAAATCAACCTATGGATACTATCTCTGTCTCAAAATATTATAACCTAGATTGAATGTGACATATCCTAGTAAACGGATTTGAATAAATCTCCGTTCAGATTCGTTGTATTAGAATGTATCATCTCTGTTCAGATTCGTTGTATTAAAATGTGTCACATTCAATCTATTAGGCCATGTCTAACGCATCATGCTGGATAGCGGTCTTGGGCCTCCATGTAGGAGCCAAGTGCCCGCAGTAGTGGCAACCGGGGTCTCACGAGCTCAAGCGTGACCTAGAAGTTTCAACCGTCGTTGACTATGACAACAGTCGCGACCGACTATTAAGATCCTCGCGACTATGGCAGGGCGGTACGCTCTGCTCTCTCGCGACCTCTACTCTAATCAAAAGACTAAAGGCCCCTACGGAAGATGAAAAAGGCGAGGACTGAAATGAGAAAGGAAGGAGTTCGGCAAGACGACTTCGGTTCACACGTGAAAGTGCTTCGAAAGGTGTCAGCAGGTGCGCGGAGCCGGAGCCGGCATGTTCGCCCGCTGGGCTGAGTGTTCGCCCACTTCTGAGTCTTCGCCTTTAGAGAGAAATCCGTGTCCGCCCCAGCAAGAAAACGGCTGCGCGTTATTGTACTAACGCGCGACGGAGCAAGAAAACGTATGCGCGTGTACGGAAGCGCAACGGCTTTCACGCTCATCCCTTGCTTCAAAACTACAGGTTTTAGCCCAGAGTTTGCTGGTCGCCAAAGACGAGAGCTTCGCCTTTGGAAGCGCCAGTAGCGTAGGGCGACCGGGCCAGCCGAGCCCCTCTGAATTAGTTGACGGCTTTGATGACTCGACGGTGAATATTAAGGAAACGCCTTGGCTTGGGAGTTGTGATGCCACAACTCTGGGTTGCACGTTGAGCAAATCCGGAGTCCCACGACTTGCTTTGGGGGCAAAGGAGAAGCAGAAGCAAACTTGTTCGTGGTCATCGTCACTCGCCGCTCCCCACATCCGCGCGCCGAGAACTCCCGGTGAGCTCTTGTCCAGATCTAGAGAGCTCGCGTGCCTTGGCTAGATCCACTGCCACTGTCGCTCGAGGAGAAGGCCGGCGAGCTCGCAGCCATATCCTTCGCCATGGGGATCCGGCATCGCCACCGCGATGATCCGCCGCTGACACTCGCGAAGAAGGGGAGGTGGAGAGGATCTATCGCCACCGCCGTTGTGGTCGCGTTGCCGCTCCCCACCAAGGTCGCCGGATCTAGTGAGCTCGCGAGCCGCAACCAAATCCGCTACCGCTGTCACTCGAGAAGGGGAGGGGGAGAGGCCAGCGAGCTCGCGGGAAAATCGAGCGCCACTGCTTGCGAAGAAGGGGAGAGGGAGAAGCCGGCGAGATCGCTTTGGATCCGGCGAGGTCACGGCGGGGACGGGAGGGATCCCGCTGACCGGGGTGGTGGAGGGGAGCAGATTGAGACCAAGGGCGGAGGTGCGGTGTCGGCGGCGGTGGAGAAGGGGATCGGGAGAGAGTAAGAGCAAGTTCACTAGTATAGCCAACTATTAGCTCTAATTCATCTATAGACAATCTAATAGCATATTTATACAATAATTGCATACTACACTATTAATATCTGGTCTCACCTGTCATACACATACTGCATCTTGGAGTCCGTGCTACAGCTGATTACAAATTTATAGTCCGCTGCTCTTCTCTCTTCTTATTTATCTCCTTAAAATATGTTTGTAGCTGGCTTATAGCCTGCTATTTTACTGCTCTAAAAAAGAGAGGGTGCACACTCCATACGTCACATTCTCATATGGATTGTCTGCCACACAATGCAAACGCGTGTATTGGAGTTTACAAGCTAGTACGCATTTAGCAGTCTCATATCCCACACAATCTATCCATTAAGAAATAATAATAACCTTACCAAGCTTACCTCCTTAGAAAAAGGGTGATTGATTTTTTTAAGTAAGGTTGACAGATAAGGTTTAACACTATCACTATTTATCATATTTAAATTTTTGAATTGAAAATAGGACTTATATTAAAAGAACAGAAAATAGAAAAAAATATCAATAGGGACTAATTAAACCAATTGTAGAAAAAGTTATAATTTCAAGAACCAATTAAGAAAACCCATTACCATAACCATTATTTTTAAGTGATTAAATATTAATGACCTTCCCTATAAGCTACTCCATACGTCACATTAAGGAGTATAACATAGCAGTATGGGTTTCTTCATATATTATTCCATATACAATCATATAGTTGATTTTGAAAGTTATATTATTGCATATACAGGGAATACCATCTGTCTGTATTGAGATCACATGCAGTCACTACTATGACTGCAAGTTAGTGACTGCATGGTATCTCATCCATCCATTTTCCAAATCAAGGGTACATATCAAAGTGCTACAACACCATTGCTATAGGTATGTACAGTATTATTTTTTTCTGTGCGAACAGTGCTCCGAGAATCTCAGCCATTGGATATAACTTGGATGGTCCTAATGTGACTGCTTAAGTTGCAGTCACACTAGTAACTGCACCTGAACCAAATCCCATCTGTCCGCCACTCCCCTCGTAAACGTGCGAGTTACCTTTCTAGTTTTTCTACGCATCTAGCCCTCTACATGTGTTTATATATTAAATTAAAATTGATCGAAATTGGGAACAAATTAAGCCAGATTGTCAATGACAATCCTTTCCAAGTACGTAAGGGCTGAGGCATCATTACTTGACACGCACAGCACTCCGCCCATCCCCGCGGCTGGCCTCGTCCGTCGCCACCACAAAAGCAAGACTGCAAGAATCGATCGAGCATAACCCCCCATTGCTCCAGCAACACACCAAGGCTGGCACCCAAGCAAAGCAAAAAAAAAAAAAAAAGGCGCACCCAACCCAAGATTGAGAACAAATTAAGCAATGGTCGCCACCTTTCTCCTCCCCCTCCTACTCTCCACCCTGCTGCCCGCCGCCGTCCCGCTGCCGCCGCGCCCGCCTGTGCGGTGTGGCGGTAGCGGCGGCGCCGGCGGCGATGGGGCAGGCTGCGTGCTCTCCAACGCCTACGGCGCGTGGTCGAGTGACCGCGCCGACTGCCCCGTCTCGGCCGTCGCGTACCCGGCGTCCGAGGCTGACGTGGTCGCGGTCGTCGCCGACGCCAGCGCCAAGAACATGCCCGTCAAGGTCGTCAGCGGCTTCGCGCACACCATCCCGAAACTGGCGTGCCCCGGGAACGGCAGCAGCGGCGCGGCCTCCTCCTTGCTCATCAGCACGGCGAGGTACGACGGCGTGGCGGTCGACGCCGCCGCGCGGACGGTGACCGCGGACGCCGGCGCGCCGCTGCGGGCCGTGATCGACGCGGCGGAGGCGAGCGGGCTGAGCCTGACGGCGGCGCCGTACTGGGAAGGGGTGAGCGTCGGGGGGCTCGTCAGCACGGGCTCCCACGGGAGCTCCTGGTGGGGCCGCGGCGGCGCCGTGCACGACCACGTGGTGGCGCTCAGGCTCGTCGTGCCCGCCGGCGCGGCGGACGGGTGGGCCAAGGTGGTGGCGCTCCGGAGAGGCGACGCGCTCTTCAACGCCGCTCTCGTCTCCCTCGGCTTGCTAGGGGTTATCTCAAAGGTAAGCGACCCATCACTCCTACTGTCCTCCTGCACGGCTGCACGTATGATTGGCTGTACTTTTCATGTCGTATAGTAGCGACCATCTGCATATGCCCCCGTCTGTATTGGCTGTATTTTCGGAAGGACAGCAAAGATCTCTTCGTTAAATTTGTCATCGGGCTACACCTCACATGTCTACCACTCCATGCATTGAGCAGCATGGTGGCAACAATAAATGCTATGCTAATTTGTGCAAATCTTCATCTTTAAATTGGTAGAATGAGGAAAGACAATTACTCCGTAGAATAGGAGTATACTTTATTCTTCCCTTGTCCCTGCTCACATAAATTAGTGCCGTTTTTGTTAATGACAAAAATATCGATCACCATAGCTATAAAGTTTGCTAGCTGTCACAAAACGTATATATCATGCATTTTGACTTAATTACTATGATTTGATGATATAATTCAATTGCCACGGTAGATTATTGAGAAATATACTAGCTTAGCGTGCATCATGGCTGGCCAGTCGATCTTCATCATGACACACGGATCGCACTAAATATGTTTACCCAAATCGTTTTCTAAGCTCGGATCTTAGATGCTCTCTATTTGTACTTTTGAGTGAACATTGAATTCCAAATTAAGATTTACATGACCGAATTATTTACCATTATTAATGTTTATTGAACCATGAGTATATGTCTGCATTTCTGCAACACCTCCATTCACGGTTTGCTACCGCAGAACTGTTGCAAAGCTTGATACTACCTAGCTGCAAATGGCGAGGATTGAGAGCAAGTACAGATTTTTGTCTAATTGAAAGAAAGAGAAAGGCAGAAGAGAGAGAGAGAGAGAGAGAGAGAGAGAGAGAGAGAGGAGAGAGAGAGAGAGAGAGAGAGAGAGAGGCGTCAGCGACTATTTTGCCGTCGGGTGGCACACTGCTACCCATGCTGTGGGCCGAGCTTTTTTTCGTGCACGTGTGACTTGCCGCATCCTTCGTGAGCAGCCAACCAAAGAATACTACTCGAGACTAAAAAAAAAGCTATGCATGAGAAATGGGTAGAGATAATCATAGAGCTCATTAATGTATCCGTTACCTTTTGAAACTAGCTGTAGTAAAATGATGTGTTATTTTTTAAACCAATAGCTAGCTGTACTATTAACCTTGCTATGATAGGAACTAATTATCACATTCACAGTCAAATTTGTTTATCTTTTTTTTGTAATTTATAAAAGTTACATCTAACATTGATATATTACATATAACATACTCATAAAACAAGGAGAGATCTTTTCCAAAGAGTTTAGAATCATTTCCCTAGTAATGTGGGAGTGTGCAGGTGACTCTGGCTCTGGAGCCAAGGTTCAAGAGAAGCATAAGCTACGAGTACAGGGACGACTCCACCTTCCAGGACGACTTCGCACGCCACGCCGCGAACCACGAGTTCGCCGACATCACCTGGTACCCGTCGCAGCACAAGGCGGTATACAGGATCGACGACCGCATGCCGCTCAACGCCACGGGCGACGGCGTCAACGACTTCATCGGCTTCCAGTCCACGCTCATCGCCGTCTCCTCCGGCATCAGGGCCCTCGAGACCGCGCTGGAGGCGTCCAGGAACGTGAAGGGCAAGTGCAAGATGGCGGCGGCGGAGATCGCGGCGAAGAGGCTCGTCGGCAACGGGCTGCGCGGCGCCGGCGGGCGGCTGTTCACGGGCTACCCCGTGGTGGGGTTCCAGGGGAGGATGCAGACGTCGGGCTCCTGCGCGCGCTCGCCGCCCACCGACACGCTCAGCGCGTGCCCCTGGGACCCCAGGTACAAGGGCCTCTTCTTCTACGAGAGCACGGCGATGTTCTCGCCTGCGGCGAGGTTCCGCGACTTCGTCCTCGACGTCAAGCGGCTGCGCGACGTCGACCCGGACAGCATGTGCGGCGTCGACGCGTACAACGGCCTCCTCGTCAGATTCGTGAAGGCGTCGGAGGCATACCTGGGCCAGCCGGAGGACACCGTGGTGGTGGACTTCAACTACTACCGCGCGTCGGACGGGTCGTCGCCGCGGCTGAGCCAGGACGTGTGGGAGGAGGTGGAGCAGCTGGCGTTCGTCAAGCACGGGGCGCGCCCGCACTGGGCCAAGAACAGGCTGGCGGCGTTCCGGGGCGTGCGGGGCAAGTACCCGAGCTGGGACAAGTTCGGCGCGGCGAAGCGGCAGCTCGACCCGCGGGGGCTGTTCGACAGCCGGTGGTCCGACGAGGTCGTCGGCGGGGAGGAGCAGCTGCCCAAGGCCGACGGCTGCGCGCTGGAGGGCCGCTGCGTCTGCTCCGAGGACAGGCACTGCAGCCCGAGCAAGGGGTACTACTGCAGACCGGGGCTCGTTTATTCAGAGGCCAGGGTCTGCAGGTACTCCGTTTCGCAACTAGTCTAAATAAAACCTGGTTGACTGCTGAGATTACTGATTCTTAATTAGTATGTTCAAAACAAAAATTGCTATAATTTACTTTTTTCTTTTCGAAAAAATATATATGCTGAGATTCATGCATGTTCTTGAATACACACATGTCGTTCTTAAATACTTCATATTATAAGACTTTCTAGCATCGCTTATATATATATATATAATTTGTTTGGTGCTCCATGGTGTCCGGGCTCTACGATTTAAATTGAGTATATACTCAATTCAAATGAGTATGAAACTTTTTCAATTATTTAGGTATTAACATTAACTACTTTACTAACTAGTTCAAACTTTTTTTTTGTTAGATTTTGATTCTAGGTATATAGCATCCATACATATAATTACATACTTAGGTATGTAATCATGGATTGTGAAATAAAGTTAAATTTGAGTTGTTTTGTTGATAGGTATAGGTATGAATCGAATTCTTATAACTAGGTATATACTCACAATTTGAAAATTTTAAAAAATTTGAGTGATTTTGTGCATTTGAAACCATGGCGCCGGGCACCATAGTGCCCCATATGAGTGTCCTATATATATATATATATATATATATATATATATATATATATAAATATATAATAAATCTAGACATATATATATGTCTAGATTCATTAATATCTATATAAATGTGGATAATGCTAGAAAGTCTTATAATATGAAACGGAGGGAGTACATGTCGGTGGTGGATGCAGGATGTCGATGATGGGGGCATAGAGTTACTGAAACATCATCCAATGAGGAAAAATAAGTGCAAATAAAAAACATTATTATAGAACCTACTAGATGAAAGGATTTTCATGGCGGTACCTTTTTTTTTTTTTTGTTGGCGGCCATATGAGAGCTCTGCTTGTGAAATTGCAACGTAGGGGTTTAGGACCGTCAATAAAAATAGATCTTTGTTGGAGGCTGCTTTATGATGGCCGCTAGCGAAAAGGGATCTTCGCTCGTGGATTGCCGCCAGCAGAGAAAACGGTACTTTGGTCTATGACGGAGCGTTTGGCCACTTATGAAAACCTATTTTGACCATCCTAAAAATGTTTTTCGTAGTAGTGGAAAACAAACAAAATAGCTAAGGAAAAATGATAATACTCTTGAAAAATATGATTTTGTGTTTAAGAATGGTTGTTTTGACCAAGCTGATTGCGTATACACATACTATATTAAATCACGTCAGTTGAAAAATAAATTGGGATACAAGTGTACCCCCATATCCGGTACACCCCTTGAAGGATCCCAGTAACGAATCCATGATAAAATCAGTGGGTGGGCTCAAAGTCGAAGTCTCGATACAATTAAAATGACGGACATACTGTTGCGCAAGTCAAATTCAATGCGTACATGATCAAAGATCACGGGAAAAGGAAAGAATTGAGTACTAAAATATGCACTCTCTTATGCCTTAGCAAATGGTTAAGTTAGGAGCCACACATATATAAATTAGCACAATTAGTAACAAATGAATAGTAGGAAAATACAAATAAACTAACCATTGCAAATCAGGGAGAATATTATGAATGTTGTTTTCTTCTCCATCGCAAATCTACCAATAAATTTCATAAATAATAAATCTTTATCTCAATAGAGAAATAATAGGATACACTCACTATAAGCAGCAGGCAAGCTGGGAGAAGCGCCCTTCGCCTCCAATTCTTCGCTACCGCCATGTCATGCTTCCCATTCACCACTAGCAGCCTCGGCCTCGCTCTCGCCCTCAGGTGCCCGTCGTTCGGATCCGCCAACACCGCACCGCCGCAATCGTTGGCACAAGCTACAACCCTCAGTTTTCAGTTCAACCCTCTAAAGGAAAATGTACATATAAGATCTATCTTATTGTCATCTGATTATAAAATCGTACCCCAACCATAAAATTAGATATATACAAAATCTTTTCCTTCCTCCTCTCTCTCTCAGTGCTATTTTTTTACCGATCTTTTACTAGTGCTATGGATCGAATTTTCTCTAAAGATAACGTACTACAACTCTTATTGTTCAAATGAAAATGCTAGGGGTATAACTGCAAATATCCACACAGCAGCCAGCAGGTCCTTCCTTCCTCCCCTACCTCCCCTTTGCGCTTGACATCGCCGGGTGGATCAGCGGCGGAGGCTGCCAGCGATGTCGTCCCTCAACTCGCTCTTCAACCGCTCCACCTTCGGTACCAAATGGTTCGCCTCCTCGCCTTCTCCCTCCTCCCAGATCCAACTACTATCCCCTCCTCTGCTGCAATTTGTCTCTCGGATTGGGTCCGTGTTGCTAAGATCGGCGACTTTCATGCTCGTGCTTGTGCTTAGCAAGGAGTTCTAGATTTAGGTTCCGTTCCGCAGGTATCGACAGGTAGTTTTCTATGGAGACAGAAGAATAACATAAACTTAGCTTCCGTCTGGATCCGAGTGAGTAGAGAGATAGAGAGCAGCCGTCTTCACCTCCTCCTGTAATGAATTGCCATCGCTGAATGCTTCTGTTCATTATTTCCTTAAAGGGTGTGCCAAATTCGCGTATATTGCATTTTTTTTTGGATCTTAGGCTATTCCACAGACACACACAGTCAATGTTTTGATGATTGCTAGCTTCATTTTTTTTTCAGAACTCTGACTGTAAGTGGCACCGTAACTGGATTAAACCAGCAGAACTCAACTAGTATAAATACCAGTATGCACTGGCGTTATCAGATCAAAGGAAGACGATGAGTTCATTAAAATTACTGTATTAGAGTTAGTGAGATCCAGTTACTAGTAATTGCTTACCCACGGCCACAACTACTTTATGTTTCATGTCGTTCATACAGTGAATAATTGCATTGCCTATGCATACATAGATAAACAGTGTGGCTTTATTTTGTAACCTCAATTAACAGAGGTTTCGTGCATTCTTTTAGCAAAACATGCTTGAATTTAGTCATTTCGAGGATCAAGCTGCTGCGCAACAGGAGGGAGTTGCAGCTAATAAATATGCGCAAAGAGATGGTTCAGTATCTTCAGACAGGCCAGGAATCGATAGCAAGGATTCGGGTAAATTACTGCTATTTATGAGCTACTCCCTCCATTCCAAAATATAAGGCACAACCACCCTTAACCCAAAGACCAAGAAATAATTATTATCATCTTGTAGTTTGGATCATCCTAATAAATATAATGCATGCATCCAATAGGATTAGACAACATGCGAGTGGAGAATTTAAAATAGTAATAATTTAATGGAGAAGATATCATAGTTAATTGCATGCTTGCATGCATGCCTTATACTCCCTCCATTCCAAAATATAGGGCACAACTACTTTTTAAAAGTGTTTCATAATATAAGGCGTGCATGCATGCATGACAATTAATTACCATCTCTTCTCTCCTAAATTATTATTTTTTAAATCATACACTCACAAGATGTTTAATTCTATTGGGTGCATGTATTGTATTAATTGGATTGATTCAAACAAAGAGGTGATAATAATTATTTCTTGGTCTTTGGATTAAGGGTGGTTATGCCTTATATTTTGGAATGGAGGGAGTATTATGGAACATCTAAGAAAAGTGGTTGTGCCTTATATTGTGGAATGGAGGGAGTAATAAATATGCACAAAGATGGTTCCATTTCTATTTTTTCTTCATTTCTCTAAACTATCATTTTTATTCATAGGTGGAGCACATTATTCGAGAGCAAAATATATTGGCTGCATATGAGATTGTTGAGCTTTTCTGCGAATTTGTGCTGGCAAGGGTCCCTATTGTTGAGGTCCAAAAGTAGGTCCAGTTTTATCAAGTGTCTTCTCATTAAGTTACTGTTTTGCCATCATGCATATATCATGATTATTTGTTTCTCTCACTTAATACAGTATCATAACAGTTTACTGGCTTTATCATGGAACAGGGAATGCCCCTTCGAACTACGGGAAGCAATAGCTAGTATAATATTTGCATCAGGGAGATGTTCAGACTTGCCTGAGCTAATGCATCTCCGTACTTTGTTCACCACCAAATATGGCAAGGAATTTGTTGCTGCAGCTATGGAATTGCGTCCTGACAGCGGTGTTAATCGTACAGTAAGAAGAAGCACCAACATCTGTTCTTTTCAGAAAACTAATTTGTGTTTTTGCTTGCAAGTTGAGCATCTTGTATTCTTGTGTCAATTTTAGAAAAAGAGGAATAAAATTGTCCATCTTGTATGCAGATAATCGAGAAGCTCTCAGTGAAGGCCCCATCAGCTGAATCAAAGCTGAAGGTTCTGAAAGCTATTGCTCAAGAGTATGGCCTTGAATGGGACTCATCGAATACTGAAGCAGAGCTTAACAAGAAATACGAAGATCTGCTGGTAACATTTGCTAAGTTATTGTTTTTCCTAATTATCAGAACCAAATGGTATTTTTGCATGTGACAGCTTAAAAATCAATTGTTTGCAAATTGTACTAGCATAGCTAAAGCCTGAAAGACTAAATGCTCATATGCAATTTTGTGGAATTAATGTAAAGGAACACTACTGTTTTAGGACACCCTTCTCACTTATGTTTTGTTCAGACTAGTTTGGTCTTGGTCTGGTTAATACTGAGAATACATAAATGTATTTTTACATGTTAATCTAATCAACACGAAGCACCCTTTTTTCGTCTAACTTTTGGCTAGTAAATCTAGGGCTGTCAACTGCATACTTGATTAGTTCTGTTCATGATTTTTGTAGTCTGTACGATTGGGGCACCATGTCGTGTGCCTAGGTTCTGTTTGTAGATTATTCCCCTCCGATCTCATTCTTGGTTCCAGCTCTGTCTTCCATCCTTATCTCTTGTTCCCAATCTCCCGTGACTATATGCGGTAGAAGGGTGGGACCCACATATCAGTGACTGTAATGGTAGTGACATTATGGTAGAGGATCCTCACCCCGAGTGTACAGGTTGATTCGGACTCTTACATTGTGGGTTACAAACGTGATGTTTTAGCTGATGTTTTAGCGCTAGAAATTTACAGGAACGAGCAGAAACAGCTTATTTCAAACCTCTCTAGCTCTATCTAAAATCTAAATGTTCACTTTTGCGTTCGACCATAAAGACACTGGACATTCACTTCATTTGTTCTGTACTTGTTTACAGGATGGATCAGGATCCTCAGCACGCCAGGGCCAGTTACCTATAATCGAGAACTCTCCAGTTGCTTCCATTTCCAGAGATATGCCATCGTTGTCCATTTCACCTGTCGAGGACACTGGAAAATATCAAGCTGCTCCCCAGTCCCCAAGCTCACCTGCTGGGTCTGCAGTAATGCATGCGGCTACCAAGAGTAACATGGTGAGCCAGGAGCATCATCGCTCCCCTGCTGATGAGATATCGTGCGCAACCCCAAGTTCGTCGGACGTTCTTGAAAAAGCCCGAGCTGCCATTGCTGCAGCCAACCGCGCCTCCGCCGCTGCCCGTGCAGCCGCGGACCTTGTAAAGGTCAAAATTACAAGCTAGTGACGCACTGACGCCTGCTGTTGTGGCGAACCAAGGCAAGTTGCGTGGTTTGAGATTGTGGCAACTCGGGTTTATTACTGACTATACACATGCTTAATTTGAATGACAAAGTGTGGCTTAAACAAACGAGAAAGTGTATTACTGTATACCACTCTCTTGGCATTTCAACTGAGTTAGTGTGGCTTTTGCCTTTCTGTTCCTTGCATCATGAATGTACAAGTGCATGGATTATCTTGTCAACTAAAAAGTGATGACATACTGTACGTTACATGTATCTACATCTGACATCTCTCCAAACTCGTAATGCGTTGAGCAACCTGGAACCCTGATAAGGGCTGCAGAAATGGAGCTAACAACGGTTTAAAGATTCATTTTCTTCGAATTATTCCTGACTAAATCAAGTTTAAACAACTTCATTCAAAATTATTCATGCGTGTCCTAAAAAATGAACTCTTGTCAGGATCATCTGGATATGCGCTGCTGTATTGGAGTAGGGAGTACTCATTGCGTAACATCGCTTGGGCTGGGCTTAGCAGTGGAAAAGTCAAGGAGAAAAGCCCATTCAAGGTATCGCGACGTTGCAAGCCTACGACCTAAGCCCACACAGCCCCAGACTCGCCGGAAGCCATGGAGGAAGAGAAGGCGGCGGCGTACTACGACGAGCTCAGCCGCAAGGGCGAGGGCGCCCGCCGCTTCAAGCAGGGCCTCGGCTTCTCCTCCTCCGATCCCCAATCCACCTCCTTCCCCTCCAAACCCCCCTCCACCTCCTCCTCCTTCCTCTCCGGCTTCGTCCGCGCCGGCGCCACCCCCGCCCCCGCGCAACCCACCAAGCAGCCGCCGCCGCCGCCGCCGCCGCCACACGAGCCGTCCCGCACAGGCCGTCACTCTCGGTCCCCGTCCCCGTCGCGGCGGCATCGGACCCGCTCCAGTTCCCCGTCTCGCTCGCGGCGCCACCGGTCCAGGTCGAGGGAGCGGAGGCGCCGGTCCAGGTCCAGGGAGAGGGAGAGGGAGGACCGCAGGGCGTCGCGCCGCCGCTCCCGGTCTCGTTCTCGGTCGCGGTCGCCTTCTCGCCGAAGCGGGAGGAGCTCGTACTCCGAGAACCGGCATGGGGACAGGCGGCGCGACGATGGTGGCGGCCGCCGTGGAAGCTCGAAGGGGCGCGGTGGCAGGGAGGGTGGTAAGGTGGATTACTCGCGGCTCATAGAAGGTTATGATAGAATGGTTAGTTGCGTCATATCCTTCTTACTGCCCTGTGATCATACAATTTTGTTGCTAGGTTTTTGGTGCTTGGGAGTGATGGTTTGTCGATTTTCTTTCAGACCCCAGCGGAGAGAGTGAAGGCAAAGATGAAGCTTCAGCTTTCAGAGACAGGTTTTGGCCCGCTCTTTGTATATGTTCTTGTGTTTCCAGTATGTTCTGTTAAGTGATTCAAGTCACTTAAAAGTTAGTAACGTGGTTACTAGCACAATGCACAAGTTTGGTGATGCAACTAGTTGTTTTCCTGATTCTGTCACCTGGTTACACTGGCTTGATCAGTTGATTGCATATATAGCTGATAGCTCTAGGCAACAGGGAGTGCAATGTCTATCATTTTTTTTATGTATTTCTGTTTATATGTATAACTATGTCATCTTATATGCTACAGCTCTATGCTCAAAATCAACTCTCAAATGCATGAGGAATTTAGTTCTATGATTCAATCTTGATGATTCCTACTTTCCTAGTAAAATGCTCACATATGCCATATTCATTGTTTGCCTATGTTTTTTTTCCAACATTCTGCATTGTGTTCACTATCAATTACTAACAGCTTCAAAAGATTCCACCCTTGGAAATGCCACTGTGGGGTGGGAAAGATTTGAATTCAATAAGGATGCTCCACTTGATGAAGATGACAATGATGTTGAAGGTCAGTCTTGATAATTTTCTTGATTATTTCTTCTCTCTTTTTGTGGCATTGCATAACTCTTAATCTAGTATGTCCCTCAATTTCTTGCAAGTCCACAACAACATACATGCTCAATCATAGTCCTTTTTGAGGAGTTGTAGAACACTTTAGTGAGCTATTCGCACCAAGAATCAATTCTGCATCAACTAGACCAGAGATTTCATCATTGATCATCATGCAAGTTCTTTTCAAAATACCATTTTCTATGAGTTGCAAGATTCACTCTTGGAGGTAACGTTTGCAGATTGTAAAATTGCAGCCTGATAAATGTTTGCAAGTTTGTTATCCTCTTATCTTATTGTTGGAATGCACAATGAGATTGTAAACAATGTGCCTATGCTGTTTTATTGGTGTTTGCTGTTTGACAACCCAGACGTTATCTCATCATTTTCCTCCGCAGTTGCTAATGATGACGCTTCACTGGTGAAGCACATAGGAAAGAGCTTCCGACTTTCTGCTGTACAAGTATGAGTATGACTTATGTGAGCAGTTGCGTTTTTTTTTGTCATATTCTGTACTTCTGTTGTTTCTGAGCTGCATTGTTGTACCCATGTTGTTCTTCACATATCGTAGTCCAAGCATGAAGATACGGTCAGAGATGCACATGAAAATGCTATATTTGGAGTACCTGCATACCCCATTGTTGATACTGAAACTACGGAGGCTGAGCCTGAAACCAATGACGAAAGCGAGAAAGCTAAAGATGTTGAAGCCGAACCTAGCAGTTCCCTCATTAGTGATAAAGTAATCTCAAGTTCCTCTTTTCCTGGAATGCGTATTTATTTCTTGTTCCATAGCTACTGATGAAACCAATTTCTTAGGTTCTGGCAACGCAAAGCGGGTCATGGAGAGAAAGAGCTCAGAAATTACGGCAGAATCCAAATGCGTGAAGTTCTATCCATGTTCCATTTATGCTGCTCTGCTGAATTTTGACTCCGGAATTCGTATAATGATGACTCCATGATGTGCAGAGCGTTAAGCAGTTGACAGTGATACTTCGAAGCTGAACTCTGTTGTATATGTATCTTTGGTGTGAGTACTGAGTAGTGCCGTACTATTGCATTGCTTCTCTAGTTCTATGACGCCAAAAGCTTAGGTCTGGTTTTTGGGTAGCACCAGCTGCACTAAATTAATGTAAAATTTGTCTGTGTTTTAATTTCTTCACATCAACGCATAGATGTATCCATAGTTTTCATTTTGGCCCCTGTTGGCAATCAGGAATTGTACTGGTCAGCACTCTCTGTCTCTCTTACAAATAGTAGCTAACAATTGTGCACTCTTTCCCAAAATTTTGGAGATAATACAGATTCCAATGGCGAATGGAGGTACGAGGTATCTAAAAACACGAAGTAGCATGGAATTTTATCTTCACAATGATACGATCTGAAAAGTAAAAGATCTCGTCGAGTAATGTGCCTCTACCTGTAGTAGCATTCTCCTGAAAATGTTCTCCATTGACAGCATCAGTTTCTACCATGACTTGTAGAAATCAAGCGCATATCACATACGATCGTCTTTGTTGTTCATGCAGTGGTAGTATACGCTGTGATGATCATGGTAATTCTTCTATGGTGATTTCAGCAGCCTCTGACCACGCAAACCATTCCAGAAGTCCCTTGCTGTCGTCACCTTCTTTCCAGGGAGTTGAAGCTCCACGACCTAACCATACAACATCAGAGTGAACTTGGAGAAGGCCACAAGGAAAGAAACATATTCGTAACCTGTAAGCTGGAATACAAACCTCGAGACAAGATGATCCACCGCAAGGAATCAGCAATGAGTTCCCCGAGAAGAGTACCTCATTTCCATCTCCGGTTTTGTCACAGGATGCGCAAGCCTTCGTGCTGATAACCTTAATCTCAAGCACATCGGGTTCCCCATTTTGGTTCACAAGCTGCAACTTTGCGCGAGTTCCTGGCCAACCTGCAAAGGCTCGTACCTACCAGAGTTGGTTGGCAATAGCATGGATGAGTATGCTGGAAATAAGGAACTCACCTTGTTATGGAGCAATTTAGCTTCTTGGTTGAATGACAACCATGACTCATCAGAATTCAGCTGGAAAACAGAACTTCCATAATAAATACCTTGGGATATCCGAAGTGTACAATATCATTTGAATGCTGGACTCCTAAAATTCAGATGGAAAACAGAGGCCATCATGATAAATTAGCTAGGTATAACTATCTGCAGAGAACCATTTGAGTGTAGATTTGGAATTTCCTGCAGAGTGCTTATAACTTTGGAATTTTGGGCTCCAGGTCTCATTTATAGTAGAGGGTTCAACAGCGTGATTCAGATTTCATAAACATATACAAAGCCAAATATAAAAGGAAATATAAGTTTCAGTATAGCACAATCCTAGAAAGTGTATATCAACATTAGAAATGCAGGGTGGAGTTCCCAAAATGATGGCATACAAACTGTAAGAAAAGAGGGAATAAATAAATGCAACAAATCGGTATAAATATTTGAAAATAAACTATGATAGATTTAAGCAGTTTCAAATGAAGTATCAAATGTAAAATAAAAACTAAACTGCAGGCAGGACGTATGACAAAGGCTCATGTAGCTATGCTCAAGTGTTCTTATTTGTTTTGCGCATGTTCAGTTGAGTGAGAATTATAGCAGTGATTTTTCGTATAATTCTCACTGCTATAGTTCTAAGTCTGAATTCGGTGGCCTCCAATTCAATATTGCCATCCTATGCATACCTTCGGTGCATGTGTAATTTTGGAGTCATCTTGTGGTTTTGCCTTTTCTTTAGCCGTTCCATCAAGAATAGAGGGTAGTTCATGAAGCAATAGCTTGGATCCTATTTAACACAAGAATCCAAATTACAAAAATCTCAAAATCATATAGCTCAGAACCATATTTAGAAAAAGATAGTATCAAAAATTTGAAATAAGGTCTGTTCCTTGGTAGGTATAATCAACTAATCATAGTTACCAGAAAAAGAGTTAGGAATAAGCTGTCTAGAAATATGACCATTAATAACACATAGTGATTAGTTTATAGTCTTTACCTAAGTTGAACAATATAGCAAGCAGCTCCGGTGCCTGCATATGAAGAAAGTTACAAAAACGATCAGTATATTTTATGAAACTTAAATTATCTCCAGTTTATAATTTGAACTAAACGAGCTCCTTTAATAAATATTGAGGAAAATTGTGGAGGTATCAGCGTAGTATGCTACTTGAATAATGGACAAGCGATTGTTCATATTCATCATCACTAAAATTACAACCACATAGCAATAGTCTATAATGGACCAAAATTATCAACATTGTCATGCTTCTTTTTTTTTACCATGAGTTCTCATGCATTTTCATTAACTAGAAACTTACAATAAAAGTGCAGTTACATATAGTCTTGCTTATGTTATATGACTGAATAGCATGGAGAGGCCCATGTATATTTTCATTCAAGCAATGGTTGACTTCTGTTCTAGAAATTTAAACTGTCAAGATGATAATAAAACCAGCAAGACAGTTAGAACCACCTACCTTAATATACTCATCTACAGCAAACTTTTCAGAAGCAATAACTGGACCCGCATCCAAGGCACGGACAGTATATGCAAGGGAAACACCTGTTTCTTCAACACCGTCCTGCAGTTAAAATTGATAAATATAAAATATTCCACAGCTAATAGCTTCACTGGATCATAGTTGTAACAGGTAGATCATTAAAACCTGCAATGCCCTCTGCACAGGTGCTGCACCACGATATAGAGGCAGCAAACTCGGGTGTATGTTAACAGTTCCTGGTATGAAGATAGAAATGCCAAATAGTCAATGTTCAGCACTCAGTAGACAAAATTCAACATGTCCCATATTGATTTGTGGCAAAGTAGGCTGCTTTTAGCACCAATTATAAGGTTGACTATGAACTCAGAAGTTATCACGTTTGGTTTTGGCAATTTATAGACTGGAAACAGAAGACCAACCGGTTAACATTGGTTCTCCTATAAGTTATCCAGTTTTGGTTTGTTACTTTGCATCTAATTTGACAAGTGCGTATTCAAGGAATATAAGCCATTCACAGACAACTGAACATGGATTGTAGCAGGAAAGCAGAAGTCCCCAGTTGCTTAGTCAATACTCCATCCGTACTCGTAAAGGAAGTCGTTTAGGACAATGTTTAAGTCAAACCTTAAGAATATAAATCATGAATAACTCTCAAGTTGTTAAGTTTGAAAATGTAAAAATTATATGAATAGATTTGTCTTGAAAAATACTTTCATAAAGTATACATATATTACTTTTCAATAAATATTTTTATAGAAACAAGAAGTCAAAGTTATGTTTTGAAGACCGTGTCGCTGTACTAAACGACTTAATTTACGAGTACCAGTAAATTTCCAAGAGAGCTTTTTTTGAAAGGAGCCAAGAGAACTATTTCTGCTTGAGCATGAGACGGTACATGTTCGTTGCGCACCAGAGCAATCAAACAGTACGAGAGAATTGGCTAAGCTGATGCTTTGGCAGGCAGACGTACCATAAGGCGGGATATCAAGAAACCTCTGAGGCAGAATGTTTCCATAGGCAGCAGTGATGCAGAGCTCTGGTCTCACCTCCTTCAGGTCTGACAGAAACGCCTCCTGCATTAATCCTCGTGCAACTCAACACCATTGTAGCCTCAATGCGAGTTTTCCCAGAGAACGATTTAGAAGGTAGTACCTCTCCAGCGCGCTCCGGGGTGAAGATGAGGTCGCCGGGGAACCCGCGGTCGAGCGCGAGCTGCGCGACGGCCGACGGCATCAGCTTCCTCCCCCGGTTCTTGGCGGCCGGCGGCTGCGTCACGACGGCGGAAACCTGGAATGAGGAGTCCGGCGACTCCGACGCCACCAGCAAAGTTTCCAGGACGGAGGCGGCTACCTGAGGCGCGACACGCCGAGCTCTTGGATCAGACCACAGACCGGAGCACGGGAGTTGGCGAACCGAGAGGTGGAGAACAGCCTGGGGGGTGGGGGTGGGGGTACCTGGGGGGAGCCCAAGAAGACGATATTCTTCTTGCTAGTGCCGCCGGTGCCGGCGCCGGCGGCGGAGGCGGATTTGGCGGCGCGGCAGAAGAGGCGGCGCAGCAGCGGCGGGGAGCAGCGCGCCATCGCTCCTCTTGGATTGGGAATCGTCGGACTGGGGATGGGGAGGAGGACGCGTTAATTTTGCTCTTCATGGTACTACCATCGAACGGCCGAGATTTCGTGTTTCTTTCTTCTTTTTCTTTTGGCGAGGAAGTGTTTCTTTTTTCTCGGAAAAATAACACATAAGTTGTACAATGGGTCTAAAATAAGAAATCTACCTTGTTTGCATAGTATTATTTTTAAAATAAAGCACAAACACAAACGCTTATATACACGCGTGCACACTTGCCCTTGTTGAACAATGATAAAACCTAAAATCAAGACATTGCATTCGCTTTGAAGGTTTAGAAGAATAATCATTGTTAGTGTGCACGCGGAATACCGTATATAGCCATCGGAATACCGTATATTTAGCTTTATATGGAAAGGTATACTTGGAATATTACGGATAAAGATGTAAATGATATGCACGAGGGTGTCCCGATCTTTTAATGAGAGGATAAGTCGATTGATGCGGCGACGTTGGTGATCCAACTACAACTATCCAAGGATGTTGTGCCTTAGTAATCGTTACACCAACTCTAGAGCCGGACGTGAATCTCAACGGATGCACAGTCAGCCCAACCACGAGGGTATTTGTTCCTGTAAGCAATCGAGAACTAGCAAGAACAAGATGAACACAAGAAACTCAATTTGCAAATTAAAGATGTAGTAGGATCGAATTAACAAAAGTATTACAGGTGGGGTTCCGTAACGAGCAAACCGGTGATCTAACCGATCACGGGATTACACGGTAAAGTAGCAAAGCTAAACTTTTACCTAAACAAAACCCAAGAAACCTGAAGGGGTACCTAGTAGGGATGTCAGCGGGGCGGGCAAGCGGGCTTTTTTGTCCCGCTTATCCCACTTCTAGTTATTTTTTTCTTCTAAAATTTGTACTACCATGCGAAAAATAGACTAGAATGCGGGTTTTTATGCGGGTAGCGGAACTACCCACTTGCATCCCTAGTATCTAGCTATTTATGAAAGTGGGAGGATGACCAATGGGTCCCTAGGGTCGTGCTCCACCTGGTTGAGGCGCACCCCATATGGGCCCCATATTGGTAGGGGTCCTAAATGAAATTACAAGACCATAGGCTTATTATAGGCGACACAACACCTTTGTATCTTCAATTGCAAATGACTGTGGTGTTTGAATCTCCTGGAGATGAAGTTGAAGATGAAGATTAAATGTTTCACGCAAAAACGATGTGATAATAACGTGTGACTAATTGGGTTTTAATTATTACAAACTTGAACAATGGATTAATCTGATATTTTAGAACAACTTTCATATAAAAAGTTTTCGCACAAAACACACTGTTTAGCAGTTTGAAAAGCGTGCCACGAGTATCTAAATTTTCATCCACCTATTATATAAGAAACGAACGGGACCTAATTAAGATAGAATTTAGCGATGAGGCTGGATTCGTTAGGATTATTTCCCATCTTCAGGGGATCCGAGCTTATATAAAAATTCATGTCAACCGTCTTAGCATTCCAATCTCACACATACCCTAGCACCAATGCATTCAATACTTCCAAAATACCATAATCGGGTCTAACCCTTCGACAATCATGTTGTTGGATACGTCGACAGACAAACTATGCAAACTTTGTGGGCAATTCCGCTAAGTATCACCAACAGGTGCACAATATAGTTCCATTTCCTAATTTTAGGATTATTTGTGAAAATTCAGTCCAACCGTTACTCCAATTAGCTACCTAAAATTAGAATCATTTTCCACGTTCTTCTTGCTCTCCACTAGTGGGGGAGGGGGGCACACGATCACACGGGGGAGGGAGATTGACGACTTCTGTTGGTAGTTTAGATATGGTCCACTTTGATGGAGCCAGGTTTAGTTTAACTCTTTAAGAAAATTATATCTTTTTTAATCCTTTAAATCCTTATCAGAGATCCCCAGAAAAAAAAATTAGGGAATAGATTTTTGGGTAACTGTAGTGATGCTCTAGCTGTAGTTTGGATTGTCTAACCGTTCTTTGAAGTGGATGATTTATCATGAAATTTTAGAGGAACAAACTAAATCTATCTATCTATTATTATATACTAAAAATCCATTAAACTTCCTACAAGCGCTCCTAAACCATCACATAGGACTCCTACAAACGCTACTAAACCGCCACGTGGTAATCTAATAAATCGATGGACCCACTATTTCAGATTTTCAGCTATTAGATTTACACTTATATGGTGAACCCAACATTGTATGGAATTAGATCTATTTTTGAAAAAAAAATCCACATCCCACGTACCTTCAAGTCCTGCTTCGTCCGTGCGTACGGGAGATGTGTACGCCCTCCCCTCCTATTTCCATGCTATATTAGTTCCTATTTTCATACTATATTTGATACATGTAAATCACAATTTATAATAAAAGGGTGTGTTTATTTCACGTCAAAATTGGAAGTTTGGTTGGAATTGGAACGATGTAACAGAAAAGTTGGAAGTTTGTATGTGTAGGAAAGTTTTGATGTGATAAAAAAGTTAGAAGTTTGAAGAAAAAGTTTATAACTAAACTCGGCCATAGTTTTTTAAAAAAACTAAATCACAGTCCTATACAATACGTACAAACATGCGTACTGCCTCATGTTCCACAGCTGGCGTCCACTTTTTTTTTCTATATTGATTAAGTAAAAAATAGAAAACCTAAAAAATTATAGCATATAAATCAAGCTACTAATTTAAATTATTACAACTAAATTTATGGTGTGAGAAAAAAATATACTTCATAGGTATTATTGAAAAGGAAACATGTTGTACTCACTCATGTTCTATAATTTTACTGGTCACTCACATAATCATAAAAATGTAAAAGAAAAGGAAAATAAATTACACCTACTACTATGAAATCATGATATGTTAAAATAAATTTACAATGTGATTTATAACGAAAACTATAAGAAAGATAAATTCATGTATTTATAATTTTAATATATATTACGAATAGTACATATCTTGATGTCAAATCCTAACTATCATAAAATTCTAAAAACATGATAATGTTGATTACATAATTGTATAAAACTCGATAAATATGGATAAATAAATTATATCTACTATGCCATAAGAAATAAAATGAACCTAGCTTTGAGTGATCGATATTCCGTGAAAAATACTCATTTCATTATGAATTCATAATAACATTATTAAATCTGTTATGATAACTATTTTTCATGTATACTGTTGACGGTCGTTAGCGATCAGTTTCGACCGTCAATATTACCAAAATAGAGGAGAACTAGTTATGCTTGCAATACATATACATGTTAGAATAATAATATTCTGCTAGTGTTTGGATCACTAACTTTTTGCAGAGAATAAACATAAAGTGGAGGAGAATCGACATCGAATCAGACGATAAATCAATCGGACGATGTCGAGAATCAGACTTATGTATGAATGGGCCAAGAACTCAGAATTAACACGATGAACTGGGCCAAAATTCACAAGTCTACGCATGGGAGTAATAGAGGAGGCCACCTACCGAATTTGGGCCAGGTGGGCCGGCCCCTGGTTTGGGTTTGGCCGAACCCCCCTGGCATCGTTGGATGCAGGGTTTCTTCTGGACGGCGTGGAGGGCAATTCCAACCATTCCAACTGCTACAACCGTCATTGGCAGCTTGTTTAAGGAGCTCCTCTTCTCACTTCACTCACAGACCTCAAGCAAAGCCCTTGGAATACTCTCGGGTGAAATGTTACAATGGTATATCCGTGCGCTTACAGATAAACTATGTAACCATAATATAACAAGAGTATTTCTACGCCATTGCTAGGAATTATATTTCTAGGAACGTCGTTAAGAAATACCAACATATACAAATTTTATTTTTTTATTGTGAAACAAAAGTAGAAAAGATAAATATAAAGCTCTTAGTAGGGTTCAATCTGCTCAGGTTATATGCAGATAAATTAAAGTTCAAGCATATATATGTTCCTCTAATCTCTAACGTATCAGTTCCATGTAGAAATCCATATACACCAATCGTCGAATTACGGCTGTGTTTAGTTCAGCGCAAAGTTTAGATTTTGGTTAAAATTGAAGATGATGTGACTGAAAAGTTGTGTGTGTATGACAGATTGATATGATGAAAAAGGACTGAAGTTTGGATCCAAACTTTATATCTAAACACAGCCTACAAAATTGCAAGCGAAGCGTCCAGCCATCACATCTGCTATTATGAGTGCACGTAACATCAATAATAAAGATAAATATATATAGCAGGATATATTATCTTATATCACTTTATAAATATACATAGTTGAATACACACGTGATTTAATTTAAAGCTAACGCAAAAATATACACGTTTACGATAATGAGAAAGATATTCTATAGAAATTTAAACAATAGAAAAACTCAATAGCATGGACCCTAATAGTAAATAAAAAAATATCAACGGCTAATCTATATGATATATAGAACTGTAAACCGTTTTAAGGCCCATTAAGCGCCCTATAGAACCTTCCTACATCGTCTATTAAAGCCTCCAAGAAATAAGAAAATAAACTTTAAAAATTCTTTGTAAAAGGCAAAACATTCAACGCTTAATCCTCCGTTAATTTCATAGTTCGTTTTATCTTAGCCATTGAATGATTTCATCAGCTTTACATATGTGTACACACATTATAGCTATGCCACCATATTGAAGAAAAAATAATCAAAGCGTGTTATCTTCTAGAAAATCAAATCACTTATTCACTTGAGGTGTCAAGTGGGGTTGTAGTGACTGTTGTAAGGTGTATGGTGTTATAACAAGGATTATTAGCATCGAGTCGTACGAGGTCACCAGCCATCCAATCACAACACTAAAAGAACCCAGTAGGAGTCACAATGAGCCACCATAACAAGCTAACAAGGGAAGGCCATGATAATTAAATTGTAATGATAAAACCTTCTTTCAACCCCCATACATATGCATTATTATTTATGTCACATCACTTGAATTAACATGCACAAAAGCATAGTAAATCTTTGCAGTAAAGAGGCTACATATGAAAACATTCAATTAATCCCCTTAGCTCGAGAATAATTTTGATATTGAATTTTAATCCTTGTAAAGAGAGACATAGCGAAAGGTTCAATCGGTGAACATTACCCATTTTACAAGATGAGTGTTTTATTTAAAAATATGAGATAGTTCAAAAGACTACTTATTCCGAAGTACTAACATACTATTTAAGAATAGAGCAAGCAGGACATTCTATCCAAATCATTTTATTTGTGGTTTTTAAAATAGAAATATCAAATTATGAACTTAATGAAACTTTGCTATAGTAGTATTTGATGAAGACATATTTAAATGGCTTTTTTCATGTCATGTTTGGAGATCAAAAGACTAAAAAAAACTTTATTGAGACACCACGCCACGCCATAAATATATAGTACAATGAATAATATTATAGAGTATCAATGACCAACAACTACGTGATGTGTGAATGCTATATATATCTGAATATTTTACGGAAACTTTATATATGGATAAAAAAATAGTCATCATAAAAAGGTTTTAACATTTAGAAAAAAAAAAGAAACCCACGCAGTTATATGAAAATTTATATGTTCCAAAGGAGCCCTTAGTTGAGTTATTCGTTGTCTCCACCTTAGTATCGATAGTTTCACTAGTTATCAAAAGTTGTTGTTTCAGACGTCTACAATGACTTCGTTGATCTTAAGATATACTGGCCCAAATTCTTAGCAGTGTTTATAGGGATAGCGTGTAATGTGTCGAGTTTGTATGAGTAAGTGTACGCATGTGTATATGAGTGTGGTGTATGTACCATGTTTCGAAAAAAAAGATTATTTTTGTTTCTGTTGGATTTGTAAATGGTGAGCCTTATATTACAATGGTATAAGTTCGTTGGTACATGATATATCAAAAATACAATTATATTTATATAAGAAACAGTATGTTAACTCCAATTATGTTTTCGTATGAACCTTATTGTTTTTTATTAGATAATGGATATGCAGATTTAGTCTAAGATACAGGGCCACGTAGGAAAACTTACTAAGCGCCTTATCTTTTCGCTTATGCTTATATTTATCAGCCAAAATTTGAATTTTTCAACCTTAAATTTGGAGCTGATTTAGAAATTTTTTTCATCGAAGTTTATTTTTTAGCTTTTGCTTTTAGATCGCTAAGAACACGTATATAAAAGTTTTATTTACAAATTATTTTTCATTTGTAAATATGTCGTTTTGCTTATTCCGTGAGTAAGCGAAACGATGGCTCCGTAAATTTGTAGGATCTAAATCCTGATAGGTAAGTTACCTATTTGGTCGACTCCAACAATTCTAAGAAATTCATATGAAATAGCTTCAGATAAGGAGTTTTTGGACAAAAAAGGCAACACGAGGTCCGATCTCACATAAACTTTTTTTTTTTGAGTTTTTATCTAACTAGAAAAAATGCTCGTGCGTTGTAAATAGTTAAGATGAAATTCACTGTGGGAGTTCGCTTGAATATATATATTTTTAGAAAATCATGAGCTGCGCGCAATTAGGAGTCCGATCGTCTCAAGTTAGCATGTGAATTTTGTTAAACAGATTTCTTATAGGATTTCTTATGTATTACTAAAAGTGAACGATTTTAAAAACCGACTCAAATACGGATATATATTTCGAAAAGCAAATGAAGTTAAAAACCGACTGATACACGAATGATGTACGAAAATACCGGCAAAAACATCTTCAATTTTTATAATAGTAGATATTTATATAATTTCACTAGTCTATTCAAACCGTCATTCCGATATCTTTTCTATCTTTTGCTTGTATTTCTGACAAAACTGTATGGTCTTTATATTCCTATATTTTACTCAATCTTGCGTTCTAAAGAGGATGTTGCTTGGAATAAGAATCGGTCAAAGACTCAGAAGGGACAAGTAGAAAGCATTGGCGCACAATTTGGATTTTTTTTTTCATAGTTAAGAAGACAGTAACCTGTAACCGCAAGCAAGTAGTTCAGAGTAGCAAGTCTTCAATTCTTAGGGCCTGTTTACATCCCCTCCCCTGGTAAAAATTTTCGCCATATCAAATTAAATGTTTGGACACATGTATAGAGTATTAAATATAAATGAAAAAAATAACTAATTACACAGATTGCGTATAAAGTGCAAAACGAATCTTTTATGCCTAATTGCTCCATGATTTGACAATGTGATGCTACAATAAACATTTACTAATGACGGATTAATTAGGCTTAATAAATTCGTCTCGCAGTTTACATGCGGAATCTATAATTTATTTTATTATTAGTCTACGTTTAATACTTTAAATGTATATCCATATATCCGATGTAACACGTTAAAACTTTACACCCATAGATCTAGACACCCCCTAGGTACACTTAAATTCATCCTATTATGTTGTTTCCTCTTCCCTCCTATATTTAGGTGTATTTATTTTGGACCAAATAGTATATATTATATCTTATATTAGATTAATTTATTTTGAAAAGATAAGAGTACAGACGACTCTTGACTTGGTTCCAACTTCCAAGTCAGTCCACACTCCACACCAGTCTCCATCACAGTTTCCCAACAGCCGCGTCCCGAATCGCCGAATCTTCCCGTGCAATTCCACTGCTTCGGTCCCCCCTTCACCTACGCTCATGGAGACTCTCACTATCTTTATAAGAGCACCCGCAATAGTAAAGTAAGGTGCTATCTATAAAACATGTACACCTCAACAATAGACTAGATTAATAGTAAACCACTTCAATGGTATGTCTACATGGGTATCTATAGCTCTCTGATCCATTGCCTCGTTTTTCTCTATAGACTATCTCCATGTTAGTAGATAACTTTGCTCTCTCTCTTCATTTAATCTCTTCCAAGTAGAAAAATATGCTGACATGGATCTTTTATAGAGAGCTTATAGATAACCATTGTGGGTGCCCTAAGATGCCACCCCAAGCGTAAACAAATCAAAGCAATCAAACACACAAACGTAAGGGGTGCAAGACGGAGCTAGAAATGGCTCCCAGGCTCTGCTGCTCTTCTCAATTCTTGCTCGCCGTCTCCTTCCTGGCCGCCTTCGCGGCCGTCTCCAACGCCGGCAAGGTGGCCGTCTACTGGGGGCAGGGGGCGGGCAACGGCGACGGCACCCTCGCCGAGACATGCGCCACCGGCCTGTACGACTTCGTCAACATCGCCTTCCTCAACGTCTACGGCAGCGGCCTTACCCCGGTGCTCAACCTCGCCGCCCACTGCAATCCGGACGCGGGGACCTGCAAGTCGCTCAGCTCCGAGATCAGCTCCTGCCAGCAGAGCGGCGTGAAGGTGCTCCTCTCCCTCGGCGGCGAGAGAGGTCAGTACTCCCTCTCCTCCGCCGACGACGCGCGTGGCGTCGCCGACTACCTCTGGAACACCTTCCTCGGCGGCAGCTCGGACTCGCGCCCCCTCGGCGACGCGGTGCTCGACGGCATCGACTTCGACATAGAGAAGGACGGTGACCACTACGACGAGCTGGCGATGGCCCTCTCGTCGAAATGCAACGGCGCGTGCGTGCTCACGGCGGCGCCGCAGTGCCCGTACCCGGACGCCCACCTCGACGCGGCGATCAAGACCGGGGTGTTCAGCCACGTTTGGGTGCAGTTCTACAACAACCGGCAGTGCCAGTACGCCAGCGGCGACGCGAGCGCGCTGCAGGCCGCGTGGGCGCAGTGGACGAGCGGCGTGCCGGCGCCCGCGGACGTCTTCCTGGGCCTGCCGACGGCGCCGGCCGCTGCACCGAGCGGAGGCTACATCGACGCGGACACGCTGCTGTCGCAGGTGCTACCGGCGGTGGAGGGCGCGGCGGCGAACTACGGCGGAGTCATGCTGTGGAATCGCTGGAGAGACGTGACCGCTGGTTATGGCGCCAAGTTGAAGGGGAAAGTTTGAAACAAATTAAGCTACGCCTACGAACCATTCATATTCACAGGCGTTTGAAATAAGCATAGCCTTTTTAAATAGTTTTATGGATGTTTTCCGTGCTCCGGCCTCCCTCCGGTAGGGATAGAATGTACACCGACCGGACCTTGTTGATTTAATTTTGCAAGTTGCATTTAAACTATGTGTCTATGTCTGTAATGAACTATGTCCAAATTGCATCTAAACTGTCTGTAATGAACCATGTCCATCAGTCCATGTTACATCTAAACTATGTTTGTACTGAATTGTTCAATCAATTCAATGTCAGTGTGTGCAAGTTTATGTATGTTTCTCCTTATGGTATTATTAATCTAAAATTTAGAAATGTTGATACGTTCTATTAAAAAAATAACAAGTTATATTTCTTCGTTGATTTGTGAAGCTTAAATTTAAGGGATTTTATGTTCCGATTAATATTCGTCACCGTATTTTTGAATTGTATTCATTCGTATTTGTATTCGATAATATTCGATTTTATTTTCATATCCAAGATTTTTTATTGCAAAAAAATAAAAACAAATATGATAAAGCTATCTCCGACAGTATTCAATCCGTTTTCACCCCTAACTGCGCCCACACCAATTTGTCATTTTGTCATGTATCATGCTTGGTGGTGCTCGAGCATCATAAGCTTCTGCTTCATAGCACTTCCGATTCTTCATTTACGCATTCAGCAAGCAGATGCTAATTAACCACCATGAAGTCAAAGCTTACACTAATACGTGTTCTCTCTAAGGAATGGAACCATTCCATTCAAAGTCACATTTCCTGGGTTTTTGAGCGATGCGATGTTTACAAAATCTTTCTACAAATGAACTTCTTATAAACATGTTTTAAATTTCTTTTCTACTTTATAATAATAGTAAATTCATTTGTTTGTACCCTCAAATAGTTATTGCAAAATCATCATTTAGATATTCCTTGGAAAAAAAAAGTTATTTGGAGCCATACCATTGCAAATTTACCGATTTGAAAAAAATACTACTATTAGTGATATCAGTGTGTGCCATATAAATTTTGCAAAATCAGAACCATACAACTCCATCACAATTTCTATCAATACCCTCGTCAGCTTCAACTCTGGCCAACGCCTCTGTTTCTTCTCCAACTCGAGCGAATCTACGATGGCGATCACGAGGACTCGTGGACGACAACGCAGAGGGGGTGGGCTCAGCACCCAACATGGCTTCGTCGGCTACGGCCGCGAGGGAGAAGACAAGGTTGCGCGGGTCTCTGTCTCCAACTTCTCCTCTACCGTAGCGTCGTTGGCTGTGGCGCACGGGGCTCCACCAGCAACCGCATTGCCTGTGCAACCTATCACCTCTAGAAGCCGCAACCGATAGTCCCCTCCAGGTCCACCACTGCGTGGGGTTGGGCCCGTCGAATCTGGAGGCCGCGACTGGTGTTTGCCTCCAGCTCTACCTCCTTCCACCTGGTGTTGAGCTCGCCGTTGTCATCAGATTTGTATCGCTGCAGCCGGAGAAAGCCCCCTTTGCGTCACCATCTACGAGCCTGAGTGTTGAAGGAGATTTGCCTGAGTTGGAGAAGAAACGTAGGCTGTTGCCGGAGTTGGAGCTGACGGATGTGTTGATAGAAATCGTGATGGAGTGGCACAGTTCGAATTTTACAAATTTCCAGTGGTATACACCCAATATCGCGAATAGTAGTGTTATTTTTTTAAATTGGTAAATTTTTAAAGGCATGGATTCAATTAACTAAAAAAATACATAAAAGATTTATACATCAGACCGCCTTGAGCGATGGTGCTCGAGGACGAACCTACGGTTGCACCCTCCTCTCTGTTCCAGCCAGAGATAGCAGCTACGGAGTAGCACCTACCTAGTTCCTGCGCATTTGCACCGTCACCACCAACGCCAAGCTCGCTTTACAAACACGATCCACCCCAATGGCCGTGCTCACCACCTTCAACCTCGTAACCTCGTGAACAAAGTTAGCTCAACGTCAATATATAAGAGGCAAAGCTTTTTTTTTTTTGCGCAAAATCTATTTCGAGAGACATCTCAAGTTAGACTTAACCAGCGACGCCTACAATACGTGCGAGAAGTACTACTGACCTCACAGACATGCAAGTATTTTTTTGCTATTAGGTTATACATGTCTTTTTTATCTTCTTATGAAGTTTTCTCTCAAATTACTCATCCGATCTATAATCAGATTACACCATTATGCTCGTTGCAATTAAATCTTCAGAACAAGATCTTACATGATTATATTACGATGAAACAATATTTATATTTGTAAATTACTTTTATTACATATGTAAGTTACTTTTATCATATGTATAAATTACTCTTAGATTTGACTAAATTACTTCTTAGACATATAAAAGTAAATTCAATGAAGTATAAAAGTAATTTACATATATTATAAAAGTAACTTAAAATAAAACGGAAGTAACTTTGTTACGGCATTAGAAGTAAATTCGTTGTAGGGATAAAAATATGATTATATCTAGAAATTAAATTTAATCAGCACATGTAACTTTAACAATTTTTAAAAATAACTTCAATGTTAATTGGAAGTAACTTTTGCGTGTTTCAGAAGTAACTCTCTATAAATCTGTTTAATCGCCGATTGTTTTTTCCTTTTATTTTTGTTTTTCATGTAGGATGAGAAAAGAAGATAAAACCTTTATGGATTATAAATAACATTGATGGAATAACTAATGAGAATTAATCATGTATAAGATATAATAGTTACTTTCTGATAATATGGAAGCTACTTTCTAACATGTAATAAATCACTTTTAAATTAATAAAATGTTTGAATATATTCAATATGGATCTTGTTTTGTCACATATTTTGAGTGGAGTACAATGATGCAAATAGATCTTAAATACAATATATGATTTAAAAGATATAAGTTATTAAAGAGATTAATAAAAGATACATACTATTGCATTTTTCAAGTTAAAAGGAGACACTAGATGGAGTGGTAACTGGTTTAGACAAACTAGACAAACCAACTAATACTAGCTGTGTAGTCATGTCAAATGATAAAAGGCATACATTAAAGTTACTTTCTTTTTTTATATAAGTTACTTCTATAATATATGTAAATTACTTTTAGGCTTTATTGAATTTCCTTTTATATGTCTAAGAAGTAATTTAGTGAAATCTAAAAGTAATTTAGATATATTATAAAAGTAATTTACAATTTTTCATCAAAATATAATCATGTGAAATCTTGTTATAAAGATTTAATTGTTACGATTAATTGTTACGAAGATAACGGTGTAATCGGATCGTAGATCGGATGAGTAATTTAAGAGAAAATTTTATTTGAAGTATAGGTGGATAGGATCTCTCATAGATGGAGTGGTAGCTAGTTTAGACAAACCAGCTACCACTAGCTGTGTAGTCACTTTTTTTTTCCCTTCTTTCAAAAAAAAAATTAGCTCAACGTTGCTTTTCTCTGGTGTGTGTGTGTGTGAATGGCTGTCGCGAAAAAAGCGACGTCTCCTTCGTCCTTCCCCTTCGTGCTCGAATTTCACTGGTCGATCGAGGAGAGATCGTAATTTAGACCCTTCTCCACACGCAGTTCGCGACCGACGGCGACCTGCCCCATCCCGTCTCCATGTACGGCAAAAGTACCTGGCGCAGCAGATGATGTATCCATCATCCAGCTGCCGGTGAGCCGGACACCAGCGACTTGTCCTCGCACTGGCGATCTACCAGCCACCGCCCGGAGATGATGCACTCACGTGAGGAGGGGCTTGGCGCCACGCCGCAGACTAACTACTGCGGCAGCGTGCTTTGCCATCCGCCCTTGAACCTCAACAAATCATGTGTACAAGTACAAGTAAAAATCGGACACATGTTAAGGCGAGGTATGCATAGATGTTCCTTCTCTACTCTGTTTGGCTTTCTTAGTGGAAATGCAATTTGAACCACCTAAATTGACCCAGGTTAACCAATCTTGTAAATACTAGATGAATTGCAAATAGCAACAGAAGCAAATTCGTGCTCGCTCGAAGGCACACCTCGCACACACGGACGTGTTTGCTGATGGTAGTGTGCGTATGGCACACTGGAGCATATCAAAATCAAAACCCATGGATTATGAAGCAACAGAAGCAAATTCATGTGCGAGGCCAGTTCATCGAATTATTTGGATACAAAAAATAGGGTGCCCCTTCAGGGCTTCAGGAGTTAGGATAGGGCAAAAGAGAATCACTTAACAATTGACCAATCATCATGGTATGATTGATAAAAAAACCACGCATACTTTCTCTTTTGAAAAATCATAATCACACGTTGCGTTTACTAAAGTATCCCCTACCTGCAGAATTTGAAGACTTTTTTACATGATAGCTGATGGCCGGCAAAACATGCACCATGCAATTTTCACAGCCCCTCTGTCCTCCAGACTACAGAGGGACCCCTCTTCTGAAGTTCACATGGCCGGAGCTTGTTCATTACACGCCCCATCATCGCCATTGCTGCGATGCTTGGAAACTGACCTTCAAGATCATCCGATGGCATGCCAGACTTGGCTTCCTGTCTTTCTAGATTTGAAGTTCCATGAAAAACAGGGGTGCCTCCTCTGCACCATCTTCCTATCCAACGATTAAGACTTTTTGCTGACATAGGAGAACCTTCTTGGCTTTGTTGATCAGTGAGTCCTTTACATATTAATTTGTTCTTCACATGGTTGATCATGCCAGTACTGTCGCTGTCACAGTCAAACACTTGACCAAACACAGTACATGTTCCTCCAGCCAATGGACCATCTCCAACCTTTGGTTTCTTGGAACAAGGAACATGAGAGTCTGAGGTATCATGTTGCAGGCGTTTCAGCCACTTCTCACTTGGATCTGGACATGCTGGCGACTCATTTAAAGCATTAGGAATTGGATTTTTCAGTCTGCTTATTTGGAAAAGAACTAAATCTAAGTTCATGCTTGATGTCTTTGACATGCTCCATTCTTGATTGTTGGCACAAGTTGCTTTTGGATAGAAGTCGCGGTGTTCTGCACTCGTGTTGACTGCTTCATTTCCTTTACTGCCGCTTGATACTCCTTTAACTGATGAAGTCACTAACTGTTCAGTTTTTGCAGAGGATGGATAACCCAAGTCCTGTGGAAAAATTGTTACATATTGATAACATATAAAAAAGAGTATAAAGTTTAGGATATGTTGCGCATCAACACATCTACATATGTTCAGATTCTGACAAAACCGTTGGAGAGTATAACTGGCTTTGTGATCTTATCGATGTATTTTAGGACTTTAGGTTATTTCATAATAAGAAACTGCAACATCCATAAAGGCAACACACTTGTGAGCCTGCAATGCTTTTAAACTCTGAAATGGAATAAGCTGATTAACTTGCGACTAAGCAAATTGAGTTGTATTCTTGAAGGTAGACATTGGAATGTTGATTTATGTTGCAGGCACATACAAAGTAAGACACATTCTCTTCATGGATTTTAAAATATTTCATGCTTTCCCACATGATATTTTTCACTGATTGCCTGAACTTGTTTATAGTTGCATAAACTAAGCTGATACAAAATGTAATGTGGACTTGTGGAGTGCTAATACCTTTTGCATTGATGCTGAAGCAAATCCTACAAAAAGAAAACATAACAATCATATCATTTAATATTTGATTAAAGCTGTTACAATATATTCTTCATTTGAATTAAACTGCATTTTGACATTAACAAGTAGCAACATGTGACACAAAAATAGCCTGGAGAAAATAGTTTTTGGCTTTTTCACCACCCATGTGCGCCCTGGGGGGGGGGGGGGGGGCTCAAAGTCTTAACTAAGACTTTCCAAAAAAAAAAGTCTTAACTGAGACTAAATTGTATAATAGCAAGTCTCACCTGCTGTAGATTTTGATGCATGGTGAGCTTCACTGTAAAAGGTATCAGTTTTAGTTGAAAACTGTTTCTGTGCTCCCAATAAACCACTGGTCATGTTACCACAAGATTTCCCTGAAGATGTTCGATCTATGGAACATTTGACATTTGATTTCGTAGGCTGTGTAAACATTTCAAATAAGCAGGGACCCTTCCGTTTGTTATCTATCAATTTGTTGTTTGTTCTCTTTTCTTGGGCCAGGGATTCGTCCTTGCTCTTCAGTATCATTGCACTATCAATTGCATCAGGTGTCTTGCAGGATTCTGTCAAATTCACTGCAGAATCTTCTGTGTGTTTATTCAGATACTGCTGATCACTTTGTAACAAATTACCAAAGTCCACATGATGGCCATTAGTGTCCATATCACCCTCGTTGGTAATGGCAGTAGTTTTAACTGACTTGATTTGATATTCTCTATGCAGTGCAGACTCATGGAAAGCAACTCCCTCTAAATGCTGTTTCTTTTTGCATGCTCCATACACTTCTGATTTATGTTCCAACAAAGAACCTTCAACAAATTGATTTTCCATTTTGCTCGCTGAATACACAGAACTGTTCTTGCAAGACCGATGAGGTGACTTCTTTGAATTTGGGATATAATGGCGAGCATGGTGCTCGTCTGCTAATGAACATGATGAGTCAGTGTCATCCTTGCTGCAAGAGCATGGTTCTTCAATTGATAAATGGCCTTTCAGCTTTTTCCCTGCATGGTCAGAATTGAGGCCAGTGTAATTATCAAGATGAGATAGCATGCCCCTTGCAGATTTGCATTGCCTATTCTCATCAGTTACCTGATGTGTGTGCAGCTGATATTCCTTTGATGAAAATGACATCACATTAGACGTAGACATATTTATCTTCACTGATTTTTGTGGTACAAAAATCTTTTCAGATGATGTGACCAACGCAGACCGCCTTGGGTTAAGAATACTGTCGATTTTCCTGTTGATTTCAAACATTGGAAAGTGATTCCACTCTGAACTCAGATTTTCAGTGCCACAAAGTTTACGAGAATCCACCAATATATCAGATATCTTATGAACAGAATATCTTTCAGATACCACCGTCTTAGCAGCATATAAGTTCACATTTTTCTGCATCACAGAACTTTCAAAGGAGCTACCCATCTGATCAACATTCTTGCATTGAACTTCTTGGCAAACATCACGTGCTACACCCCTCATATTAGTACTGAATTGCCGAGTATTTCCTGCAGAGACACCTCCATGGCTCACTCCCACCATCAACCTTTCAGCTACTCTAGCTTTCATGAGCTCAAAAGGTAAAGCCCCGCAATCTTTTGAATAGCCAACATCATCAATTTCCTTAAGTGGGCTACAGCTCTGGCCATTTTGAGGTTCTGGACTGATGCTTGATCTGGCCCAATGTGCCATCCATAGGGAGTGCTTGTGGTAAGATGATTCTCCAACGTCACTTCTGCTTGGCAGAACTTCTAAATCTACCTTCTTACAAAATCTGTTGGTAGAAGACTCTGGCATTATCGGCTTCAAAGATTTGGCTTAAGATTCTGCAAAAAGAAAACAATTGTTAGAAATGAAATTTAATTTGTGGAATGCAATAAAGAACAATTATGCCCAGTGAAACTAGTTAATAGAGGGGTGGAGTATCGCAACAGTACATACTATGAAGAGACAAATCTAACCTATTGAGACCGCCTAACAGTACAGTACATAGTAAACTGATTTCTAAACAAACAGAAAAATAGTTAACATCTAGAATACCAAACAAATCCACTGTCAAGACATATTTCGCAGTGAATTTTAATAAAATTAATTTGATGTTTTAGATATTGGTGCATATTTTTATAAATTTGGTCAAAATTAGAGAAGTTTAACTTAGAACAAAACTTAATCACTTTGCAATATCAATATGGAACATAGGGAGTAAATAGAAGTTGACACTAACTAATACAGAAAATGCAAGTACAAATATTTTACTCCCAAAACACGAAAAAAAAAGAATGTACTGTCAAAACACGAAGAAGTCTGGGAAATTGGCTTGTAACATAGTTTGTTAGGACCTTTGGTCCTGTTTTGCCTTTTACACTGTACAGTTTTACTCCTTCTCTATTCAATGAAATTGACGGCTCGCCCATTCGTTTAAAAAAAAGATGCTGAAAGGTGTTCTACCAGCTTAAGTAAAAAAAAAACAAATGACTAGGTAAATCATAGAGTACAATCAGCTACTTGCCTAATTCCACCGAAGACTTGTCGCCAGCAAGACATGACAGAACTTTTCACGACATTCCAAAAGAATATGAATGAAATCCGATAGAGGTGCTTGCTATTACTTGCGACTTGCGAGGCAGCCTGCATCCATGATCAACTTATTGCCCAACTTCTGTTATGCTACCACACAGTGAACGGTAAACTCTACAGATTTTATCTTTTGGTTATCTATTTCTTCACCTTGATACTTCCTCCTGACGTGATCTATCCATAATTGCTCCATGAACAAAAGGACATAAATGATTTTTTTCTCGCGGGGCCAAAATGACGGAAATGATCAAGAAACACCTTCTTGCCGCTCAACAAGAAATCTTTAGAATGGGAGGAGAAACTAGAAAAATCTTTCCTAGTTGCGTGAAGCAGGGAAATCGCAACAAAAAGAAAGATATTTTCCGTGCCATCTTAAAAAGCTAAGATGATCCATCAAGCTTATGGTAAAGTCTACAACCACCCCAAAACAGGGGACTTTTCAATTACCAGTTATATTACCACAAAGTAGGATAGCAAATCAGCACAAGTGCACAAGCAACAACCAGCAGGGAACATTTCAATTACCTGAGAAACCCCTCGCCTCCTTCGCCGCGCGCCCGCCGCCAAAATTCAGATCCGAGCGTCTCCACCGCGGAGCAACAACCACCAAACACGGCGAGAGCAGACCAACCCAAGAACAGGCAGCAAAAAACCAACCAAGCAAGGCCTTTCTCTCGCCGCTACCTCCTCCTGGTCCAGAGCAGAGAAAGACACAATAAAAAAGGGCAAGTCCGCAGCGCCCGCCCAGCACCAGCAGCAGCAGCAGCAGCTCGCTCCACAGCCAAGAGCGGGGTCGGAGAGCTCAGCCCCACTCCTTTCTCACACACACACACCAGCGCCGTCCCAATCACCACCAGCCCAGCTGAATCTATCCCTCTCTTCCCGCGGAATAAAAAGTGAGCAAGAGGGGAGAAACGTGTGGGCGCAAGCCGCCCCGCCGCGGTCGCCTCGCGCGAATTGAATTGGGGCGTCGATTCCCTCCTCGTCGGCTGGCTGGCTGGCTGGCTCGTCGCTACCCAACCATTCGCAGGTAGGGGTACGCTTGGCTGGCGCGAACACGGCCGCGTCGTCGTCCGTCGTGTGGCGCGGCGGTCGCGGTCTCGCGGGGGGGGGGGGGGGGGGGGGATAAAAGCCGCCATTAAAGGCGGATGAGACGGCGAGGACGACGTCGGACTGGTTCGTTGGTTGGATTGGATGGAGCGGTGACGTCGCGGCGTCCCAGCCATGTATCAATAAGCGCGCATTTGCTCGGGGTTTTTTTTAAAATTATTTTGTGTGGGGATGGGTGGTGGGTCAACGAGTCAGCGAAAATATCTTGGGGGAGCTTTTGCGCTTTTTGGTGTCCCCGCTGCTGGGCTTGATATTTATGGATCCCACGTTGGCACGTTTCTTAGCCTAATCTACTCAGCTACCCGCCAAATTGCGTAGTGTTTAGGATGTTTTAAATTGTACCAGTTGCACAATGGGCATAATAGTGAAAGCGATTCGAATAGTATGGATAAGTTTGCAAAACAGTGGACGGAGTAGATAATGTGTTAAGAGCTTCATAGACCGTTTCTAACTTTCTGTGGATGTGTCAACCTCTTGGGTAAGCTGAATTAACTAGAGACGAGAAAAACCTTTAAGCAAATCAAGTATATCTTGATATATCTCAAATTAATATTAGAAATATTAATACATTTGCATAATAGGGTGCTACTATGTAATGTACCATCCCATTGTGATCCGAGCGTGAGTAATTGCTGATGCTTAGGATGATGATCGGTTAAGCTATACTACCTCCGTCCCAAAATGTAACTATTTCTAACACAGTATTTTGTCCCAAAATGAAGCTATTTTTCTACCTATCTTCTCCTCTCAGCCAATCACAAACATTCTTTTTCACCTACTTTCTCTTTTCAACCAATCACACACCTTCTTCAATCATTCTCACCTACTTTCTTAATACCCGTGCCAACCTCAAAAATGCTTATATTTTGGGACGGAGGAAGTAGCTGATAAGCCGCAGTAATATGAATGAAGCAACTAAAAATTTATAGGTAGCTTTTTATATCTATATTATTTATGACTTAAAAGTCTAAGGATGAAAAATTCACTAAGATAAAAAACCAAAATCAAGTCTGTTTCAAATCCAAAATTTTGGCGACAACTTATAATCATGTAGAAAAGGGTTAACATGTCGTGGTTAAGTTAACCACATAGGAGCCAAAGGCATTATGATGCATCATGTTGAGTAGCCACAAAAGGAGTGGATGGTATTGATTAAGGGCTTGTTCACTTTGTTATCATTGTCAACTATAGCTGTCTAAGGTTGTGTTTGGTTTCAGGGGATGGGAACTAATCCCTCCCGCACGAAAAAGGGAACGATCCATTAGCACGTGATTAATTAAAAGTACTCCCTCCGTACTCATAAAGGAAGTCGTTTTGGACAGCGGCACGGTCTCCAAAACACAACTTTGACTTCTTGTTTCTATAAAAATATTTATTGAAAAGTGATATATGTATACTTTTATGAAATTATTTTTCAAGAAAAATCTATTCATATATTTTTTACATTTTCAAACTCAACAACTTCAGAATTATTCATGATTTATATTTCTCAGGTTTGAATTAAAAATTGTCCTAAACGACTTCCTTTACGACGGAAGGAGTATTAGCTATTTTTTTAAAAAAAAATGGATTAATATGATTTTTTTAAGCAACTTTCATATATAAACTTTTTTTAAAAAAATACACCGTTTAATAGTTTAAAAGCTTGCGCGCGGAAAACGAGAGGGAGAGTTGATAAGAACGCAGCCTAAATGGGCCTTTCAGCACGGCACGGCTCGTTAGGTACCGTGCCAGCCCATGTGCCGAGCTGACAGCCCAAGCACGGCCCAGGCACGAGATGGCTCATGAGGCCAGAGGCAGCACGGTAGCCCATTAGGCCCACAAAAATGAGGCTGCTGCCTGCTTCATCAACAGACCAACACTAGGATTCGCACTCGAGGCGTTTGCTCGTTTTTTATGTGTCAGCAAGCGTAGCTATTTCCGGGGAAAAAGTACACCGTAGGTCCCTCAACTTGTCATCGAGTTACGAAATCGTCCTCGAACCACAAAACCGGATATATATCTTCCCTCAATTTACAAAACCGGATCACTTTGGGTCCTCAGGTGGTTTTTACCCCGGTTTTATCCGACGTGGTAGCTGTGTAAGCATGGGGCCCACATATTAGGGTGACACGTCAGTACCTCTCTTATCCCCTCTTCTCTCTCATCCTACTCTCTCTCGGTCCTCTGGCCTGGTAGGGCGCCAGGGCGGGGCGAGGCGGGGCGCGTCGAGGCCGGCCGGCCGCACCCAACGACGCACACACGCGAGACCGGGCGGCAGCAGGCACCAACCGTAGCGTCAGCCTCCGCCTCCACATTTGCCGCCGCACCCGACGACGACGACGACGCACAAGCGCGAGGCCGGGCGGAGAAGGAGCGGCGGCGGGCACCATCCGCAGCGTCAGCCTCAGCCTCCGCCTCCACCTACGCCGCCGCTCCCGACGACGACGACGCCAGCGTCTCACCGTCGTTATATCTAAAGCTCGCACTGCTGCTGATGCCCGTGTCGGCGTCCTACTTCAGCCGCCGCGCGCGTCACCGCGGCGCGCCACTGTTCCTCATGCCGCGGCGCGTGCTGCTGGCGGGCGTGGGGCTTGGCATCTTCACCGGCGTCGACGACTTCGTCACAAAACTACGGCCTCGCGCACCTACTTGCCGGTGTCCACCTCCGCCATCCTCATCTCTACGCAACTCGCCTTCATCGTCTTCTTCGCGTGCTTCATCGAGCGGCAGCGGCTGCTGAACGCCATGGCTCTGCTCACTATCAGCTCGCATACAAGCACGCCGTCGCCGGCGGCCGCGCCGTCACGTATGCGCTGGTGATGGAGATGCAGCTAGTCATAGGCTTCTTCGCCACCGCGTTCTGCAACGTCGGCTTGGTCATGGGCTCGCGGCTCGCCAGCATGCCGTGGGACCCGAAGCTGTCGCCGCGGCACCAAAGCCTGTCAGCTCAACACCCTTGTTTACTCACGCGAGACTGAAACTAGCCTATGAACTCCGACGTTTTTCAGATGAGAAACAGTATACTGACAAAGGAAAAACTGAGAACAGAGCAAAACAGAGCTTTTTGGTGCTGCAAACTTCAGCAGCTTTTCTGATCTATTTCTTCTCCTCTTTATTTTGCGATAGTTACATGCATAACAAACAGCGACATCACCGGATCCAACTACCGAACGTGCCATCCCACGATCCGAATTCGGCTCAGTCTATCTACGACCAAAAAACTGAAAGACAGACTAGGAAAAAAAAGAGCTAACTGAACTTTGAACAATTCAGTCGCCCATTACATGCAGTATCCAAAATAAACATGCAACTATCCTAACAAACCGATGAAGATAATGCAGGCCCACAAGATTACTTCCAACAATTCACCCCCTAATCTTGATGTGCCTGTACTTTCACCAGTCCCATTTTCTTGCACAGCTCCTGAAACTGAATTTTGCCCAATGGCTTTGTCAGAATATCAGCAAGCTGGTCCTCTGAACAGACATGCTCCACCTTGATCTTTCTTTGCTCAACACACTCCCTGATAAAATGATAGCGGGTATCTATGTGTTTACTTCTATCATGAAGCACTGGATTCTTACAGAGGTCTATTGCAGATTTATTGTCAATTTTCAGAACAGCACAACTTGGGTCTTCAAGCATCAACTCTCCCAGCAGCCTACTAAGCCAAACTCCTTGACATGCTGCAGTAGTAGCGGCAATGTATTCAGCCTCACATGAAGATAATGCCACCACCTTCTGTTTTTGAGATTGCCAACTTATCAGGTTGTTTCCCAATTTAAACAAAACACCAGTTGTGCTCTTCCTATCACTTATATCTCCAGCCATATCACTATCACTATAGCCAGTTAGCTGAAAACCTCCTCCATTCTTCTCGAACTTGCATCCAAGCTTCAATGTACCATTCACATACCTTAGAATATGCTTGACTGCAGCCCAATGTTCAGTTGTGGGAGCCTCCATGAATCTACTCACATATCCCACAGAGAAAGCTAAATCTGGCCTTGTATTCACCAAATATCTTAGGCTTCCAACCACACTCCTATACAATGTGGCATCAATAGGCTGTCATGAACCTTCTTTGCTCAGCTTTAGCCTTGTCTCCATTGGAACTTGAGCAGTGTTGCACCCTTCCATACCAGCCTTTGCAACAATTTTTTCAGCATACGCAGCCTGACAAATGGTCACACTTCCTTTGCCCTGGCAGACTTCCATTCCCAAATAATAACTCAGTAATCCAAGATCACTCATGCTGAACATTTTCTGCATTTGCTTCTTGAATTTTTCAACCTCAATCACACTTGCTCCAGTAATCAGTAAATCATCTACATAGACACCAACTATCAGTCTAGAACTCCCACTTCCTCTTGTATAGACTGCATGTTCTGTAGCTGATCTAACAAAATTAAGAGAATTCAGACTTTCATCCAACTTGGCATTCCATGCTCTCGGAGCCTGCTTAAGGCCATACAATGACTTTCTGAGTTTCAACACTTTTGCAGGATTTCCTTCATCTACAAATCCTGGAGGCTGGACCACGTACACATCCTCCTCAAGTTCACCATTCAGGAAAGCAGATTTCACATCCATATGATGTATCTCCCATCCACTCTGTGCTGCAAGAGCAATCAGCATCCGAACTGTCTCCATTCTTGCAACCGGAGCAAACACTTCACCATAATCAACACCAAACTGTTGAACATACCCTTTAGCAACTAATCTGGCCTTGTACTTAATGATAGCACCACTTGCATCCCTTTTAATCTTAAACACCCACTTCAAACCAATTGGCTTTACTCCAGGAGGTAATTCAGTAAGTGTCCAAGTTTTGTTACCCTCAATTGAATTCATTTCTTCAATCATTGCCTTCCTCCAACAACTCTCCTTCTCAGCCTCAGCAAAACTAGCAGGTTCTTCAGTTGCCATAAGGCATTGATCATCATAGTCGAAATCAAGGATTGGAGTTGTCGTTGCAAGTGTGTTTGCCACTGTTCTGTAGCGTCTTGGTGCTTCA